AGTATCGCACCTAATTTGTTTTGAACGCAAGCGTTGTTTAAGCTTTTTGTACTAATCACATTGGATTAATTCAAAGGCGAACACTTTTGCCTGGCGTTTACTATAATTTGCGGTTTTCCGGTGATCATTTCTTGGAATAATTCAGTGGACTTCCAATTTTTTTAGCGGCTTCAAGAAGGCGAATAACTCTTGTTTTTATTGTGGAAATTTTTATGAATTACAGTTGTTTCTTCTGCAGAAACAAGGCTGATGCGGAATGGTTTCGAAAAAGAAACATTTTTTTGTTTTAATTTCTCCTAAATGAGGCTATTATAAAATTTTATTGATGTTTTGGTCAAGAAATACAAGTCAGTATGGAAATGAAATGGAATTATAATTAGTTGAAATTGAAGTCATTAATACCTCTTTTTAATTTATTTGAAATAATGGCAGTTAAAAACTGCAAAACACAAATGCTTGTAATATTTGTTTAATTTTTCTTTCTCTCATTCCATTAAGAGATTTTTCTAATTCCTTTCTTATTTCGAGTATTCTGTCTGTTTCAGTATTGTTCAAATTATTATTCAAATTAAAAAAATACAAGGATTCAAAATTAATAACGCTGCATTATAACAAAGAAACATTTGGTCCTTCCAATACGTAAGCATATAGCCATTTTATTTTTGATGCGACTAAACAATTATCGTCTTACTTTAATCTATTGTAGCTACATGAACATACACAGAATATTTTGACACCCTGTAGGATATGATCAAAAGTGTACTTTGGTTTTCTCCCCTTTTATTTTAATAATATAATATGTAACCTTTGGTCGACCGCAAGTGGTGTCAAAATACGATCGTAAATAATAAAGAGAAGGCAACTATTAAACTATGTAGTTGCAAGTTATCCAGTCTTCAGACCACAAACTGCCGCCTATATGTTGAGAAAAAAACGACCCTGAATGTGTAAGTCTACCATATTCCAATTTTTTGAAGGCAGATTGTCTTAATCAATTAAACTAATAAAAACTAAAAACTATTTTTTAATTACTTCTTACGCTTTAGCAATAACACATTTATATACGTTTTAATGGGCATATTTCCAATGCGAGTGTTTAAAAAATATATAGCAGGATCTCATTAAGCCAGGAGAAAGAATCTACATATTTTTAAAAATATGTTTTGTGTTCTATTTTTCCAATTCAAATAGGATAGACATAAAAAGTATATTTGTTCTAAGGTCCGAGAGTAAATCGTACATTCCAGGTGCGTAGAAGCATAATTTTGTAAGGAACCACGAAAATAAAGAAACCGAGCATATTCTATTGATAATTAAAAAATCAAGATTAAAATGCAAGTTAAATTAAAGACCATCTACTACTGGCGGAAGAATAAATGGTAATCGCCTCTGAAGGGCGTATTTGACATTTTATACAAATGTTTTTATAGCCAAATGTGTATTTGATCTTATTCTACCTAAGTTTCTTAAAACTGCACGTTTATGCCAACGTCCACTAGCATCAGCATAGCAGGATGGATATTCCTCGGTTTGATAAGCAAGAAGAGCGCCAGAAGGAAGGGCCCTAGCCGGCGGGGCCCAGCCAGGACAAAAGGAGGTCCCACAAAGCGCCTACACCGGCCGCATTTGCGGTCGGGGTAGACGACGGATGGGGCCCACCTACGAAGGCTGTCCAGGCCTACATGAGATGAGGCAGGATAAAGAGGGTTAATCCCCCTCGATCCCAAATCATTGAGGCCAATTTCTAGCCATGGAATAATGGCGCGGTTTGATATAAATATATAATGTATTGGAACGGCACTCTACGGGTCAAGCAAACTTCAATCAAAGAAATTAATTATGCTGATATTTTAATCTGCCCCCTGTATTAAAGTTGTCCATGACCTTTAAGTATATAGAAGAAATGCATAAACCATATCTTTTATTTCAATACCTCTATCGCATACAAATATCCCAAATCCCCTAATCTAAGTCTCAATAAGTAGGTCATTGACAAATAATGAATTTGTGGTCAGTGTTTCCAAAAGATAAATATAAGACCTGAATTAGCGTTATTCTATATTTATAATTTCCGTAAATCTTGGAAAATGCTGACTAGTTTTACTACAAGGATACTGATTTGAGAATTCCTCATTTAGTGACCTTAACAAGCTTGTAAGATGGACTTGTAACTGTAATGTACAAGATTAAATCTGGGTAACTAGAGCTCCTTTAAAAATGTCGTCCACTTATTGCTTTCATCGATTTTTTTCTGAAATGCAGTTGACGAATGAATGATTACATCCAACAGCAGTTTTCGTGTTTTGTAGTCAACCTCTCAGAACTCTTATTAAACTTCACTGAACTGCGATTGGTGATTGGTGAGGCATAAATGCTGACATCTAGTGACACTAATATCATAAGTATTTTAAAAACAAATTAACATCACCATTCTAGTGTTTAACTATAACGATTAGGTAGATTCACACCTACATTGAAACATTCAAAACAACTTAATAAATTGGCGACTAAATAAATCACATGGCGAATTTTCTACATCAGATAAAGCAAAGATCCTGTATAGTACCAGTTTGGTTTTGTATATGACTTCATAGATAATACTATCAGCTAATTTGATCAAAATTGTATGGTAATAATAATGGTAATTACAGCAAAGTTAAATAAATAAACTAATAAATCACTTCGAGATTCAAAATTAAATAACATTCACATGTGGTTAACAGGTGACACGACACCATCCATTTTTTTATTATTATGAAAACACAATTGTTACAGAAACATAGAGTTTCAACAGGCCTGGAAAATTGAGTTGTTAATTTAATATAATTAACCTTTCAATATGCGTATCTGTCTCTATTAAAATCCTCAATATTGTTTACGTTTTCCAGATACCGTACAAATTGGGACTTCCAACCGAAGTATTAAAAAACTAGTTATGTCTTATATATTATGTAAGTTTGCACATAGATTTTTACTGACACACCAATGACATTCTTTTAGCTGTATGTTATTCGACAAAGGTTAAACCATTCACTAATTGAACACTTCCTTTGTTGTAGGTGCATGTTCTAAAAGTTCTTATCAGCTCAAAAGATTTCACAGTTAGGTATGCAAAATTGTAAATAGTCTGTTGTGGAATAAATAGGTGGTATATTAGTTTCCAAAATCTGTTCTTTTCACGTGAATATAATGTATGCCAAAAAAATATTTTCTAGAATAGAATGAAAATATTTTTGATTTTTATTACATCCGTAAAGAGAAATAATGGGATTTTATCCCATCTTCAGATAAACAATACAACCATGGATTATAAAAATTTTTCATATGTAAATATTAAAAAACTAAAAATATTTTATACATCTAATTAAAAACAATGAATATTATTAAAAACACTTCAAAAACTTGATACATAAAATAAGAAAATGTTTTTAGTATTATATTCTACAAAATATGTTTAAAGACCAAAATTTTAGAAAATATTGATAACCAATTGTAAGTTTTTAAAGTGCTTTTAATAATATTTTTAGATTTTCATACTTACAGATGAAAATTTTTTAAAATTCATGAAATTATTTTATCTGAAGATGGGATAAATTCCCGAAAAATCGTAAATAAAATTGTAAAAAGGAAAAATTGTTTTATAAACAAATTATTTACCAGTGACCAGTTTCCAAGAAGATAATATTTATTCCAGAATAAATTACACAAAGTATTTTAAAAATTCTTAAAAAAAAAGATTTTCAGAGGTATCCTTTACGAGCCTGTATCTCCGTAGGGAGGCCTCCCCTGTATAAATCCGAGAGATTGCCCACATATTCTGGGACACCCTGTATATGTCGTTGGCGCAAAAAATTTGTTTTGTTATCAAAATCTGGAACATTTCGTTTTAAAATTAATTTTGACAGTTTATATTCGCTTATTTGACTGTTTCCATAGCTAGAGATTTATATTATGTTTGTTCTATTATCACTTATTATTTCTTTTAGTGTTTGTAGTCATCAAGGATCTAAATTCTCGGAGTAGCATTCATAATTTAATAAAATAGTTGCGGTCTCTTTTAATTTTTTAACATAATGTTTAGTTAAACTTCGAATTTGTTGGTAGAGTAGTATTTTTATAAAAAAAGAAATAATTTAATAAAGAATACTAAATGTATACAGGTTGTTCAAATGGATGTGCTATCGCTCGTTTTCCGGATTCCTCACTCAGTGAGTCAATAAATTTCTAGCAAAATGAGTTGCTCGATTCTCAAACATATACTATTTAATTTTTTATTTTTTTTAAATATTTCAAACATTATTAATTTAAGCCAAATGAATTTGACTCAAAAAGAGCAGATAACTTAATCAGAGGCATCTAACAATTAAATAACAAATAACAATGTGATTGTCACTTTAAATTTTAAAAAATAACTTTGTAGATATTGCGTATCCTGTGTCTATTAAAAATTACTTCTTGATAAATGCAAACATCTTAAAAGATAAAGATATCAAACTTAAAAAATTGAAATACATAAATGACAAACTTACAAACAAACACTTATCAATGATACAACTTTATGATTTCAATTATAGCTTTATTATATGACTGTATCATGCAAATGTAGTTAATCTCAGTACATGAGAATTTGTTTATAGAAATTTGCAATATCGGACTATTTTAGGATTGAAAAAACGAAAGTTGATTTTCTTGGTTTAATTGTAAGTCACGTGATTGGAAAAATATGCAATTGTTTACGGAGACACATTTTTTTCAATGTAATGTTGCCGTACGTGTAAACTTTATTACGGCTGTTAATTATTTTTATTGCAAGTAACAATAAATCGCTTGAATATCATGAATAAATATGCCGATATAAAAGAACAAAAGGTGCATAAAAATCGTTCGCTTTATTAGAAAATTTGCATAGTAAACGTACAACAGAAAAAAAAATACTCGAGTATGCGTAGATCCAAAGCGTTTCTCGTGCTTCGCGAAGAAGGATATATATAAAGAGTAATCACTGGCTGAAAACAGAATACAATACTTGGTGTATCGCTGTGCTGGACGTGTCGTGCATAGTATGCGGCGTTTGTAAGGTTTCCTCCAGTGTATTTTTCTTGAAATTAGTTAGAGTTGTACACAAACTAAGGCAAAAATGGCAGTGCAGTTCCAACCCTCGTTCATCCTTCACGAGAAGTTTGAAAAATTGACCTTCTCCAGATATGAGGTACCTAATTTTTTTGTATCAATTTGGTTGATTTTACATTTGAACATATGTATGGTGAATACTTAAGATTTATCTGAATAGTTACCATTTGCTGCTGTGTAACTATCGTGAAATGCAATTACACTTTAGTTGAGCAAAATTTGGAGATAATTATATCTAATTCCATAAACTCATTTCATGTAATTCTTGTTTTATAACAGTACTTCCTAGATTTCATTCATACTATTTTGTTTATTATCATTTTAATTCTGAAATTTTGACTTTGATTTATAAATAAAAAACTCTGTTTCCGTGTTGTCAAACGAATGCATTTTTTGCAGATATTTTAGTAATATAATATTTAAGTCATTCTATTTTATTCTTATATTAATTTATAAATTTCCGGTTTAAAATATAAATCCATATAAAGATGTATGTGTTGATGTGTGCAAAATTGGTTAAGTTCTGGATAAATCTCATTCGCACGAAGCAATTTGATGTTATCTGAATATGAATACATGAATTATCTTTACAACTACTATACTATACGTTTTGTGGCATCATTAAGTTCTTATTATCTTATGATCTTTTCATAGAAATACTCTAGATTACAGATATAATATATTTGATATACTTCCAATACAACACATGCATTTGATATAATTTAATTGATTCTAAAGAATTTCAAATAGCATACAATAATAACTTGTAACGTCCCTAAGTAGGTATCATATAGAATAATGGCGTAATCAAATTTATTTGCATCTATTTTATAGCTTATTATTAATGTGACAAATGTTTACTTTTTATTTTATTTATTTTATAAGTCGCCAGTCGCCTACCATATGAATTAAGATGGATTTACTAAAATAAAAGGTGACAATATTTAGTACCTACATAAATCTGAAAAATATTTTTACCTCCGAAATAAATTCCAGTAAACAAAATTAAATCTAAGTGGATTAACTGACGGATATAACGGAAATCTCGGCAGACAAAATTAATCAATTGTAATTGAATTTTAAAGGGCTTCAATAACGCAAGATCAGTCATTCCAGTAATACAATTAAGGGCATAATACCAATAAAAAAGTTATACTTAAAAAATGAACTTTAATTCAATTAATCTGAAAGTGAACAAAGCTCCGTTTGCTGTTTGCTGTATCTATAATTTTTTCTGAATTCTACCATTGAATAAGATAATCATATTCTACACAGTTTTTCAGCCTTTGAAATATGGATTTTTTAAAATTTAATCTTAGAATCTGTGTATCACATAAATGCGACTTTTGGTATTGTGTAATATCAGCGACTTATTACGTAAAACAATTCTATCATATAATCGTTCTTGGTACAATGCTCCCTCTTCTTTATATTTTGTGTGTTTAATATGTAATTTGCATATCTGAGTAGAACATTATATCACGGACACATTAATGGATCAGGTTACAAAAGAGATAAACATTCTGTCAGAACAATGTGTCACTAAGAGAATGTGAGTTTGATGCTAGACCCTTTGAAATTTGAAGAAGTTTTTAATTTAGCGCCCATACGGCACTTTGGCGCTTGATTTTTAGATCATATTGAAAACATCACGTTTCATCACCAATCACAATGTTGTAAAGGAAGTTTTGTGGAAGATCATCATCATCAAGGATGATGATGTGCTTGGAATGTTGAATTTTGACCGATTTTTGGTCATCCTTGCGATATTTATTGGCATTAAAAACCAGAAACACTTTGAATGTAATATTTTGTAAAACCTTTACACAAGCAATGCATTATAGAGGTTCAAATTCAATTACGGTCCCAAATGTCTCAATATTTATTGTTCTATTTGAGCATTTAGCAGACACGTGTTAACAAGATGAGAAAACAGTTTAAAACGTACGTAAGAAACAAAATGCTGTAGAACATATTGTCTACCACTTATGAACAAGTTAGAAGTTAATTTATTTCACAGTGCAAGATGATTATAGTCTCTGCGCCATTTTTCGAGTACCTGCTTCTATTTTTACAAGCAGGAGTTATATCAAATGTGTTAAGATGCACATCAACTTAATTAGATTAGCACATGCCTCTCTATTTTACGTGGTTTATTTTATGTTTATTGGCAAAATGACAAGTGCATACTAGATCCCTTCCAAAGTCATACATGAAAAACCATGGAAACACAAACTTGACTACCTGTCCAGATGCGTACATGCGGCCAGTAGATTCTTACGTTATATAATTATTTATTTAGTTAATTGAGGAAGTCGCAAAAAATTAATGGCCAATAACTACATTGTTAATAACTCTATCGTGACTATGTAAAGAAAAAACATCAGAAACAGCGTATCTCTCTCTCTCTTTCCAGGGCAATGCATATATAAGTATTTCCAGTTTTAAAAAGAGTATTTGATATCTACTTTGTCAATTTGAACATAAATTCTAAATATGTACAAATATCTTTAGGAGTTTGAATTAAATGCCAATCTATATGTAAATTTTTACCAGGGTGACATTGGTGTCCATAATTCCTCATTTTTAGAAGTCAATAGTGTATATTCCACAAATTCCTAAAAATTGTAGATAGATTATTAAGCTATGTAAAAATGTTTGTAGGTACAAGTGAAAAAAGTTCTACAAATTCCTTACCCATAAGCCAAATACCATAGAACCATTTAGCTGGTACTACAAATATAGTTCCTAGATAAGTAACATGCTCGGAATATATTAGCGGACAGTGACTAATTGTTAAGCAACTTGATTGATGATGAGTAGATTTTTTAAAATCAAATCTGAATGAGGAAAATTATGAAACACTGATTAATTTGTCTTCTTTCACATTTTTATTTAGGCACAACTAGTTAGATTCTATGTTTGGGTTATGAGAAAAGTGTTGAAACCCATGCTGTTAAATAAGAATCCTTTCAGTTAAAAATATTGGACGCCAATGAACCCAGTGAGCGCCTGCATGTGCTATTAAAAAAATAGAACTTTTTATTGTCTATAAAGTTTTGACGTAATATTCAACAACGTTACGAGTAAATTTTATAACGTAATTTCGCTTTCAAAAGTATTTTGTTACATTAAACTTTATTAACTAGGAATTATTGCCACAACCAGATTTCAGTTTCTTCATCCAAAGATAAAAAATATTATTTTTACAAATTTCTTGCTGACGATATATTCTTTGTGGTACATAAAGTATCCATTTTTCAAGCGTATATAAAAACGTGCTTTCTGTTGGTCCTTAATAGATTAGTCTTAGTGGATTTTTTATGTTTTCATCTATCTGTCTGTTCTGTTAGATATTTATTTCCTTCTAGTATCAACTGTCTATATTTCTCGACTACCTGTAGGTACCTATGTTTATGGTCACTAAGCCCGAAAAAAAGGTAAACATTTCGATCTGCAGGTCAACAAAGCAGGTAATATTATGCACCAACGGAACACTTTGACGTCATAAAAATTCACTTCTTTAACACCTGCTCCAGGCAGCGTAACGAAATTTACATATGAGGTGGTCTGGAGGAGGAAATCTGCGTCAATTTTACATAAAAATTGTCATATTGTTTTCGATTCGACACGGGTTTTCTAACAGTTATTAATGGCACAGGTAACTTTCTGAACGGTTTGGCGTCATTTTGCATATGCGTCACAACTGATTGAGACTTACATTATAAATGATAAAAACCAGTTACTGATGTACATCATTTGTGGTTGGTGCGACTAAATTCTTTTTGTTTTATGTTATGTCTGTTATACGTCAAAGTAAAATTCATTTAACTACAAACCTAGTATTAAATACAGGGTGTGGCGTGTATAATATATAAAAATTAAACTACCGCTTCCTAAAGATATTTGTAATAGAAAAGTCTTATACGAAAAAGTTCTATTTTTGCGTTTTTTTTTTTTCGTAAATTAAAGTTCAATTATGGATCAGAATATCGGCACGCTATTCGTATTTTTTACTTCTTTATAAAAAATACACTGTCACTATCGTGGAATTACAAAATAAAAACTTTTGTCTGGAATCTTTCACTTTTTAACACTGATGGGTCGATGGATGATGCTTAATATTTAATAATTAAGTGAATAATTAATTCAATACAAATACAAAATCAGTTGACTGCACACATTTTTTGACAATATAATCTAACCTTCTTTTAGTATTACTAGTATCAGATTATACCGACTTTAATTATAAGGTTGCTTCTCGGATCGCATAAAAACATTTCCAAAGTTTTTAATAAATAACACAGAGTCGGCCTTCATATTTGTTGAATAAATGAACTTTAATTTACAAAGAAAGACGCGAAGATGGATCTTTTTTGTATAAGACTTTTCTATTACAAATATCATCAGGAAGCAGTAGTTTAATTTTTATAGATTATACATGCCACACCGTGTATACCGAAGAACCTTTTCTCTAACAAATTAAACATCTTTTTTAGTATTTTTTGGAGTGTTGGTGTTATCTCTCCTTTCGAATTGTGTTCTACTTTGGTTTTTGCAGATTTGTAGCGGATTCTCGCTTAACCTTAATGCATGGAACTAGTAAACAGCCTTCTCTACATAAAACATCTATAGTATGGGCTTTAAAATCATAATCATTTGTAGTAAAGGTACCAAAAATATCTACCTAATGTCTTTTCTGACTGGCGAACATTCAAATGCATACCTGACAGATACTTTATAAAATGCAAAGATCCTTGAGACGGTGTTATATGAGCATAATATTAATCAGTGACCTCGATCCTTTTTTGACATTAATTATTTTCGTCTGCCACTCTAAGCCGAACATTCATAAATATGCAATCGCTTTTCAATCAAATTTTGAAATGGAAAGGCATGAATTATGAAATATATATCTATATATCTTACATTAAAGTGGAGGTGACAAGAAACGGCGGAGTTTTGTTTTGGAAGCTTTAAAATTAGGAACTTACATTCTCAATTTTACACTTAGGTAAGGTATATTACATTTTTAAAGAAACATCCAGTGTATTTTGTATCCCAATTAAACAATTATGAAACACACACACCACACACACACACACACACACACACACACACACACACACACACACACACACACACACACACACACACACACACACACACACACACACAATATTATGAAAAAGATGGGGAACGACACTTTCATTAAGTGAATCAACGAATTTGATATAAATTTGTTGTAAGAAGAAGCAATAGGCAGTCCCGAATATTTTAACTTCTAAGCAAGTCAAGTTTACCAGTTTTTCAGAAATTGTCCCTACCAACTGCCCTTAGACAGATCGATCCAGGTCGGAACCAATCCTGTGAGCAGCATTATTGATAAGTGAAAATAAAATTCAGGCAACATAATGTAGAAGCCAATATATTTTATTTATATTATTAACGCACTCGCTACAATCGTGGTTTAATTTACTGTCTGAAGTATGAAACTATATCCAGCTCTCCATGATAAAATAGACATGAATTGCGTACAATCCACACCCTATTCCTCTAAGATAAATTAGTTTATTATCTACGTCCACACTTCTTGCGTTTCTACTGGCTCCAAAATTCTATTGATTGCCTGACACAGTCAGTCCTTGAGTTTGAGAAGCCTTAGTGCCTCATTTCGTCGTCTTTTCTTTAACTATACGCTCCACAATTCATCAGAATTACAGGGCAGTTTTCTCATTAATCTCCCCATTTCGCTCCCTTGCAAGCCTCAGACGTTCCCAGTAATTTTTGTCTGGAAGTTTCCATCACTGACATTAAAATCGATATAAGTATTATGTTTGACATGAAATTAAGGATTCAATCGGATCTTTTAACTCAAAACAAGTTGATGATATCCCACAAAATACAGATTTAATTTAAATGCCTTGTGAGAAATTTTAAATTTAACTACCTTTCGAATTCAGGTACATACTTCCATCTCATATCTTTTCCAAACAAGAACTTGGCTGTATTTTAACGTTCGGTTAGGTAATCAAAAATTTGTTCAAGTTTCTTTAGAAATAAGCGTATTCGGTATTTTCAAAACAATAAATGATATATTTTAATTTACTTGCACCCTTCTAATTCTAATGTCACTGTTATTAATAAACATACCGTTACAAATAATAAAAACCGTTCACATTTTATATCTTTGCTATAAAAGCTAGGAAAACCCACAGCTGCAGTTAGTTACATTGTAATCGTAATTACAAATATCATGTATTCAGAAAGCGCGGATCTAACAATGGACACTCCTTCATGTGAAACTTGATGTTCACATCAAAGACATACAGGGTGTTCCAAGAACTCACTTCTGTTGATTCTGAAACGATTGCCAACAAGTTTTATGGCTTCTTGAGCTTTTTTAGTATAACTCGCCCTTTGCAATTAAAAATCCAAAAACCATGACCTTATCGAGTGCTCGTCAACGGATGGGGGCACGATTGGAACAATTTTTTAAATAAATTCTAGAAGTAGTTTTTATATCAAAAGTTTTAGTATCAACCGTGTCAATACTTGGCTTGCTAATAATATTCAGACATATCATTTTTGATTTTTATTACTGTTTTTTACTAGATATTGCTGATGTAATTCGATGCTAGTTGGGGCAAGTAGCCTTAGAGAAGTTGTTTCCTGTAGTATTAACAGTTAAGAATCTTGTCTGTAAAGTTAAATATATTTGGTATACCAAAGGATAAGTTATTCATTCATTTGATAGAATTTCTTTAGAAAAAAATGTTCTGATGAGAGAAACCAGTTCTGATTGTGAGAGTTTTTTTCACTGAGTAAGCATTTTTTTTGTTGTATTAATTTTTATGTCAATTTTTTTACCCAACATCAATTCGATTTTAGTGGAGACAGGATGACTTGAATAATAAGCGTTGCGATGAAAAAATCAATATATATTTAAATTGTTAATTGATTGCAAATTTACACGTACAATACACAGATAATTAATAATTAATTCAATGGTGAACGACCACAGCCGACCCGTGAAAAAGCGCTTTTTGAAAGTAAGGTCAAGTTCTATTCAATATAGCTACTTTTTCGTTTCAGACGAACTTTTTCGGTTCAGTCAATGAACTGAGCGTAATACATTTTGTAATCCGTGGTCCAAGATCTCCAACGTAGTGTAAACCATCGGATTTATAAGATGCGAACTTCTATTAACTCGTGTTGATGCTATAATTCAACATTTTTGGCTGTGCTGTGACGACAAACGAATGGCATATTTTATAAACCAAAGCTTTATGGTCACATCTATAAATAACCGAATCTAAAAAGTGAATGAATACAGAGTAAACAAAATCAAAACAAACACCCTGATTACTGACCCTGTAAATAATTCTGTAGTCACCTAAAAAATTTTCCATGTGGATTGTGCTCAAGTATCACATAATGGATACAAATAATAATTATGTTACAAGTTCATTAATATTCATTGTATTGAAATGAACTGTTGCGTTGTATTTTCATTGATTGGGTTGTGAAAATGTAATTGGTATGACTTGTATAAAAGTACGCTCTTAATTCATGAAACGACAAAAATCTTTAATTTTGATTGAAATTACTGTTATATTTCATTATAAAAAATTTCATCACCTTATAATTAGACTTTTATCCACATATAAGAATCGTCTAAAGTGATACTTTATCCACTAATGGAATAAAGTAACATTATTTCATTAGTAGAATAATGAAAAAATAATAAACCTATAATAAATCAAATTTAATTTATTTACTTATTAACATAAACATTCAAAATAAACAAATTTACTTCATAAATATTTCAGTAAAACAAATCTACTTTAATTTTACCTTGAACTTGTAAAGAATACAAGATACAAAATAAAATACCTATTCAAAATATAAGACACTTTTATTATTTTATGTCTCTGCATTTGTCACGTAGTCAGTACAAGTCTTCAATCTTGACTAAAGCAGTATGGACTCTGCAGATGTCAAATATTCCGCAGTGCAGCAAATTTTCAATGCACTGAAAGTGTTTTCAGTTTACTTTCTTCCTATGAATTATTTCCTACTCCCTCTTTTACTGCTTGCTTGTAAATTACAGCTACTTCCTTAAACATCGAAACTATTGGCTATTTTCTTTTGAAAACAATGTTGTCCATTGAATAGTAAATATGTATTTTACAATTTACCTCCACGGTTTTGCTAGCACATACCCACTCTTTTCCATGACTGTTTTACATAAATGTGGCTGCATTTTCGAAGAAGGATGATCTGCGATCTGATGATGCCTGCAGGCCCAAAATCCCCGCCAACAGTGGCGCGTTGTCGATGCATTTGATTCTCAACAATCCCTCATGGATTTTCTGATCCCCAAATGCTATTATGATGAAAATGAGCGTCATGGCTGAAGATGATTTTGTTCGAAAAATCAATTCTTCAGTTCTTATGAGCCAATTGAACTTTGTAAGCATAAAGATGTATATCTGTCGTGATAATACGCTGTAGAGAGCATCTCGAAATGTCCAATCCTTGGCCATGGTGCCGAAAGAACATCGGTTCTTGGACTCTCAGTAACGTTCTCACGACTTTTTATGTTGAACGACTTGTAAATTTAAGATCCAATCTGCTTGAATTTTCCAATTAATCTGTTCACAAGTGATGAAGTTAAATAACTATTCCGACCAAATTTTGTAGCTACAAAACTTCATTATTTTTAAAAATTTTTGGTAACAAGGAAAACGCGTTATTCTTTCCTGTAGTGCTCCCTTTTTACTAACTCTAAACTGTCATGCTGTTTTTTTTTAAATAAAGATCATTTGGTGAGAATTTTAGGAATGTCTTTAGAATTAGCAATAAAGAATGTATAATTTTAAAAAATATAACTTAGGCTACGAATCTTCCTCTTATAAATTGTACCTTAAAAATATGTTATTAAAGCATAAAATGGAAAAGTTTAAATAAAATACACCGCATACCTTTAAACGGATTTTTTTTGTTACAGTCGCAATCATCAGTGGACAGTATGTCCTGCCCCTCCACTCCATCAACCCCCACCAGTCCCATAGACTACGAAATTCAATTTGCGACTGAAGAAGACAAAGAACCAATCCGAAACTTCCTACAGACATTCTTCTACAGAGACGAGCCCCTTAACAGTTACTTAAAACTGATAACGGAAGAAAAACCTCGTTGTATAGACCTCGAAAACTTCTCTTTGAAGGAAATTAACAATGGTATCAATCTAAAGGCAGTCTACAATGGAAAAATAATTGGAGTTTCATTGAACGGGATATTGGAAAAGGGATGGATCAATAAACCCGACACGTTTAAATGTAAAGATGAGAAATTTAACATAATTCTGGGCCTTCTGGATCATGTTGCTAAAGACTCTGATCCTTTTAAGAAGTTCCCTGACTGTGACAAGGCTATGACGGTAAAAATTTTGTCTGTGGATGGAACCTACAGAGGAAAGGGTATAGCTAAGGAACTGATGGCTAAAACTAGGTGTGTATATTTTTCGGTACAAAATTTTATTTCAAAATTATTTTCTCTTTCTTTTCATCCACACCTTTACATTTTATATTATGAACAAATTTCATATAACACCTAAGAATTCACATTAAAGCTTATTAAAATATGATAAGTATAAATTTAAAGGACATTTCAGGAATAATTGTCAAAATTTAAAATTTGGTAACCCAAAATAAGAAACAGAAAGTCATTTATGAAAAACTGTTCTATTGATGGTTGGAATTTGAAAAAAGATTCACACTTTCTAAAATAACTGAAGATGTTTGACGTAGTGACGAAACTTAATAATTTCTCTGATCATACGTAAATCCACTAAATCTGGATATCAATAAAATTCAGTGCTATTGTTTTTTATTTTTGTTCCTACATCAACGTAGTTATAGTCTACGGTTCGAAAAATCAATTTTTGTTTTTTAATTAGGTGTGTTGGTTCAAATTTGTTTGTTTGTGTCTGCTTTCATAGCTAAAAATATCACATTGTCACCTTTCTCACGTACCTAATACGTACGTAATAGAGATTACAAGTCTGATTTACCCCTTCTCGTGCTCTCACATAGCTTCTAACGCGTGGTATGACGTCACAACATGGTTGCCGTGCAATTTCCTGCGCTCAGTTTGTATTAATTACTTTGAGGGAGAAATTGTTGGAAAAAATTCGCATCAATAGATATGTGTATACATTCTGAATGTGAATTAAAAAATATATGCTAAATCAGGCAATTAAATATAACAAAAACAAACATGACCTAGCATTAAAGAGTACGGGTGTAAAATAATCATAGTAAAAAATCAATGTGTATAATTTTAAGGAAACCCGCCAACTGGCTCAGTGCCAGTGACGTAAATGATTAATTATTTTTTTAATAAGCCATTATTTCAGTCGGAATAAAATTTTAATGAATATATACAACGAACTATTAATGCGAAAATGAATGCTAAACGAACTACTGAGCAAAATACACCAAGTTTTCTGGAATTGAGAGAAACTACTCGGAATTAATTTGAACCGACGATATTACTGGATAAAGTAATGGCAGTAACTTTATCATTAAATTTAGGAATACGTTCAACAAGTATTTGTCTAATTTAATTAAGTATACAGGATGTTGCAGAGAAACGTGAAAATAAAGCGGTTTAGCGAAGTTTGATAAAGGAATCCATATTATATGGAAACAATAAATAATTATATTCTTTCTTGTAAAATATGCAACAGAACATTTATTAGTATTTAAGTTGAGATGGTGTGACTAACACCAAGAACATACTGCATTAATATTTTTTATCGTCAATAGACAATCATCATTATTGTGAACACGTTAGTCAATTTTTAAATCACCTGCATATAATAGCTTCGCATATACTAAATTTATTGGAAGGTAATTTATATAAAGTAGAAATAAAAAAAGGTCCTACATTTGACCCTTGTGGTATCCCAAATGTAGGTGTTATAAAAAAAGGTCCCCTACTTCCCCAATAACTACGCACTGGAATGTATTTTGGATTAAGTTATCCATGAAAAAATTATCCCTACTAAAAAAATGTCATCCCCCAAATTTTATCATTCAATATTTTATGCCAGTGAAGTTACAGGAAAAATAATACAATTGAAACTGTATCTCCGTGGGAAGCGTCCTATCAAAAATTTGTATAGGGCAAAGCTTGATTATTTTCATCGGTAGAATACGCCATTAAAGTTTGGCAAAACTTATCATTAACACCCTGTATAAAGTGATGTATAGTAATTTCTAATAATATGGAATATGGCATAATACAGCAATAGATCTTTAATTTGTAATTTCGGATGAATCACCATTGTTTAGTACTGGACAAACTCTGGCAATTTTCCACATGGTAGGCAAATTATCGTGCTAAAATTCAAATTGAAAATATGTTCTAAAGGCTGAGACAAATGTCTAATGTAGTCTTTGACCAAGAAAGGTATGTGGTCTGAGCCTATTAATAATTCTTCTTTTAGTTTTTTTAGATGCGCTAATAGTATTCAACCCATATGTAATGTTTGATAGAATAACAGCAGAGAAATTATAATGATTCAAATTATTCTTTAAAAAATTGTCAAAAGCATTAATAATATCCCGATTCCCAGGGATTCTCCTACTACTCTTCTTATTATTTTTTCTATAGAACTCAGAGACATACTATTTTATGAGCCTAAGGATTTTACAGTTTACTGAACGGACTGTTTTCTGGGTAATATTTTCACCTACTATTGTTTAAGCAAAAATTGTATACTGAAACAATTAGTATTTTTCAATAATCCAGTTTGAGCAGATGACTCTACAGTACCACACTGATATTAATCCAATTTAAAATGAAGATAATTAAGATTTCTTGTTGTGAAACGCGTTTACTTTATGCCGAGATATCCGCAGGCAGGTCAAGGTTTAATCCTGTTTCTGTAGTCGGTTCGAGCTCTCCGTATTTTCCGAAGGAAATTAATTTTCTTCCCTTTACGCGCACTTCCCTTCCTCACTGTCATTTCCCACAATTTTGCCCATTATACGAGAGCGTGAACTCCTACAAGAGATGCCATCTGGAAGGATCATTATAATTTCCACGTTATTTCCGCGATTTCTAGAACTTACAAAATTGTTACAAATCGCTACTGCTTTATACGAAATAATGGGTACCTACTTTTAAATTTAATTCAGATATTGATATTGTACGAGTATATTTATTTACTATGAGCATTAATTATATTAACATTGCTTTAGGCATGTGTTGCAATAATTAGAAGTCTGTTTCCGAAAGTAGGATGAGAACACCGCGAGAATAATAAATCAGTTGCAAAAGAATTAATATTTAACTGAAACGTACTCTGCATGCTCATTATCTTGTATCTGTAATAACTTGTTCAAGTAAAAGAGAAAAAGACGAAAGAATATCTCGATAAATTATAGCCCTTCCCTTCTATCACTTCTTACACTCTTTATTTTTTTTTAACAATATACTACGGGTTTACTAATTATAAGTGAAAAATTAATGAGTAAATTACATTTCAAAGACAACGAAGTTACAGCCGAATCCAACATTTTCGCGTTGTGGTGACCCTGTACCTATACTACAAATTTATAAACATAGAACATGCTTTTAATTTGAATGAGTGCCAGCCAGACTTTTATTATGGTTGTATTTCAACGATTACGAAATGAGAACCGTAAACAAAAGTTTTACAGGAAGGGAATCGATAGAAATGGTCGTATACAGGGTGTAACTAAAACGGTGGAAAATTAATCGAGAAGCGATTACACATTTTTCACTATTACAATTTTATCACATTTTTTTGCTTTAAAAATAACTTGTCTATACTAAAAATGATAAACAGATTATTAATTTTTCCTTAAAAAAAAGAAGGTAATCATTCTAGTTACTATTTTCGAGGTGTTAATACATTTCCGGACATATACTGACAAGAATTTGTTGACTATTGTTGCAAGTCTGTAAAACCCTCCAGGGACACCCTGTATAAATCGTGCAGCACCTAACCTTAAGCTACATGTTAACTGTAAGGAAACATTTCAAAGATTGTTTTTGAGGAGCATAACAAATACCAGTTCAACCTGCACATCTTGACCTATTACCCAGTAGCAATAAATGTTTTATTCATGTGTCTTATCGTTGCTAAATATTAGGTTTCACTACCCGCTTCTACATAAACAAATACATCTTACCACATGGCAGCTAGATTTTTTTGATCATTTGATTTATATTAACATGTGAGAATCCCATTTATATATAACGCGGAGATGACTAATTCGTTGGATAAACAACACTGATAAAATTTTGCAAAATTAGGACAAGTTTAAATTTGTTTTTTCCTGAAACAGTTGTGATATTTATTTTCTCAAAATATACGAAACTAAGCTAAAAATGAGATTATCCGTTCCCGTCATCGATAGTCGTTTGAAGTATCTCGTGAAGTCAATTTACTGTATAAATTACATTTATTGCCCTGTTCTAGCAAGGAAAGTTCGTTATTAGTTACGTACAGCTCAAAATCGATTCCCGGAGCTATAAACTTTGTAATTAAAAAGGGACATTAGACAGGAGATTAATTTTCTTAATAGCATTTCCACGTTGGATGCCTGTTATAAAAGAAAATTAATACTTCAGTCTCAATTTATATACTTAAATGCAACTCTAATTTATTTGTTATTTACGATTTTTCTGCGAACAGAAACAGAAACATTCCAGCCAGACTTATTGCATTCTCTTTGTATTCACATAAAACGCCTAACCCAAATATTTTACATTCCGTATCTGTAATAATTCACACCAGATAATAAATCATATTACATGCATTTATACCACTTCTGATTATAGATATAAAAGTTAAAAAAATATATTAACAGGTTCTTTCTTGCATTTAATTTTCTGTTATGATGCACATCCTCAAAGTCTTAAGCTTTTAATGAACAAATATATATTCAAATTTGGTGTGGTGCAATTCATAGTAGCTACTTAGGTGCAAAATCTAACACAAACACTAGTCAGTAACATAGAAGTTCTGAAGGGTTTCAGTTGCCAAAAAAAATTTAAAAAATTTCATACAATACTTCAAAGGTTTTTGGTTTTAAAATGGTGCCTTCGGAGTTTTTTGCATAGAATTTAAAAATTTGTACAAAAATTATGTCATATTGTGCGCAAAAGACCATAGATAAAAATTACAATAAATTTAAAGTTTTTACACAAATCCCCAATTCTTGCCAAATTAGAACAAATTACGTGATTTTCGTCTATGATACGCTGCTGACGAGCACCTAACATTGTCATAAATTTTGGACATACATAGGCTAACAAATGTAATGCTCGAAGATGATCCGTACTGACTACGCTTCAGGTGAAACGGCAATATAAATTCTTTAAATATCTTGTATCACTAGAGATGGAACCGTTTTCAATTTAAGAGTTCGGGGTTTTCGGTGTGTTCGTCGTAAACAAATAAATAAACAAGTATAGGTATAAATAAAAATAAATAAATTTGCGTATTTTATCAGCGAAGTTTTTTTGTCCCTTGGCGCGTATTAGAATATTAAAACACGTATACACGAAGCAAACGCGAAACCAATAAATGCCGTTATTACCGGTTTCGTATGGTACGCTGTAGCGAAAGGCCGACGCGACGGCTATGATCATCCGACCGAGTCCCGAACTCTATTAATTATTTATGCAAGATGTCAGATAATCCCCATTATCGAGTATTGAGAATATCCGAAATTAACTGAAGCCACAGATGTACACATTGAACTTTACCATTATTGTACACTTCTAACGATACATTATTCTGGATTCAGTGCAGGAATGCATTAATATATACTGATCAAACGTAAAAAAAATAATTATTATTGCAAACCGCAACACAACCTTGTCTTATATTTATTACCTTAGCAGGTAATGGTAGTGTCCATGAGCGCCGTTTAGGGGTAGCAAGGGAGGACAGTTCCTTCCTTGCCTCCTAGAAGATACCAAAACAAAAACAGGAACAGTAGATACAGAAAAAAATTCTGTACTGCGATTTCTATAGTAACACCAAGTCATTGTTCAATTGGTCTAATTGTAAGTCTAAATTGTAGGTATGTTGTATATGTTTGCGGGTGTGTATATTTTTTGTTTTGTATGTATGTACGTTATTCAATTTAAAAATTGAAGTCTCACTCAACAACATACAGATGCTATTATAAAAATTTATATTTTTTCACGAAAAACTAGTATCAATTATGTACTTATAAGCTTTTCAAACATTTCTCTTTTTGTTTCAGAGAAATTGCAAAGGAACACGGATGTGGTTTTATGACAGTAGACTGTACAAGTCACTTTACAGCCTGTGCGTTGAAGAAATTGGGCTTCGACCTCCACTACTCTCTGAAATATTCCGATTACAAAGTTAACGGAGAAGTTGTATTAAAGCCTGCATCTCCCCATGTTGCTGTTACCGTATATACACAAAAAATCGATTAAAAAGTATATTAAAATTTAAAAACCATATAGAAGTCATATCCAATCAACATACAGTCAAGATATCCCTATTAATGATTCTTCTATCTGATATGCTATTATCAGTAATATAGCAGATATGATTTATTATTTCGCAATTAGCCAAAAGTATGTGCCAAATTGCTTTATACAAATGTAAATCATAAAATTCGTTCAATTCCAGATGAATGGAACATTTTATTAAAATGTAATAATAATCGTGCAATGTCATTTTTAACACATAGGAAATAGTCAAAATGTTTCAACGTTATACATTTGTCAGTAAGAATTTAAAATTAGAAAGTCGTTTTTGATTATAAAAAATTATAGGACACTTATATCTGTTTACGGTTCCATCTCATGTAAAGCGATTTCATGGAACAGGGGATAATGTACATTGGAAAACTTGTAAAGGACAAATATTTTTAATTTTCCATTAATATTCATTGTAAAACATTTGGGTATGTGGAAATAGTTACTCAACATTTAGTTACATGTTGAATTATTTGTGATAAAAAATGAAAGTAATTTCATAAAAAATATGTTTTCCAGCATTAGTTAAAAAACTTTTTTTTCTTATCGTCTAAGTAATAATTATTTCATACAATTTCCATGAAATTAAGTAATCCGTTTTTATTTGTATTCTTAAAGAGATAATATGTTACTAATTGCTGTATTAAACAGCAGTAAATACAAGTGCACAAAAACATACTGTAATGCAGAATTTATTCAAGTAATGAAACTTTTTTCTTAATTATTTATTTTTACAAAAATTAAGCACCAAGAAAAATATGTTTTAAAATTCTATAAAGCACAAACTCATCTATAAATTAAGTGGGTGTTCAAAATTTAAAATTTTACGTTCAATTAGCAATTTATTGCATAATACAAAACATTCCAATTTTTTTCTAATTTTTCTAATTTGGTACAAATTACGCAGTATTGGTCCCAGTGCGTAGAAAGTGAAAGCAGTTATTGACTGATGACACCTTACTCTAAATAAGTGATTGTTGTACATGTGACTGAGAAAGTCAAATAAATGTAAATTTTGAAGTACAAATCGTAGATAGTTTTTAGTGATTAAGAACAATTTATAAAATTTGTTACGTTTTGCTATTCTAAGTGTAAAATGTGTTACATATATAAATAAATTTATGTTATTTATACCTCAAATTATTTTTATGAACCTATTATAACTGAAATCGGAAGGGATCAGTTTTACTAAACGAGTCCATTTTATTCTGTTTATCTTGCTTGATTAACATTGGCAAGGGGGTTATAATGAAATACTGAAATATGTTTTATCTTTGTATTTTAAATTATCTGCAAATTTCTGTTTCAAAATTTCTAATTGCTTTTCATTTCCATTTAACGCAGCTGCTTCTCGAACTTGCTTCAGTGAGTCTTGTGCAGAATTTGATCTTTTAATTAGTTCATCTCTCTTGAACGTTAATGAATGCCTGCAATATTGAAAACGATAACAATTAAATCCAAAATTAATAATAAATATGAAAGCCTTCGTCTAATTTTCAGTATATTTAAAAAATTACCTTATTGCCAAGACCTGAAGACTCACTACAATTGTCGTTACTGTTAAACAAAAAATAACCACTGTTAAATTTGATACTCTTTTCAATCCCTTAATTCCGTAGTAGTAAGGCTCATTTTCATATTTTTTATCATCCGCTTTGTTCCTGTTGATGTAAAATGATGGATCTTTCCAAGGGCTGCAATTAGTAATAAAAAGGACCAAATATATACATAAAGAAAAAATTATATAAATTTTCATTTAACAAAAATTATCTGACCATTTATAAAAACATATTTGGAAATATGAAATTAAAAACCGTACTCAGATCCGAATTGTTCTTTGTAGGGAACCCTAATTTCATTCCTGTAAGAAACTCCTTCAGGTGGTCCTAAACCCAAGTCATAAAGTCGTCTCGACTCTGTTTTGCTTAAAACTTCATAAGCCTTATTTATTTCCAAAAATCTTTTATGAGCATCTTTACTTTTATTTACATCCGGGTGACTCTAAAAATAAGAAATAATATGAAATTAAATACAATATGGTCTAAATGAGTGAAATTGATGAAATTTTCGGAATATAATCCAAAACTAATAAAAGTTATTTAATTATCTCCGTTATATAAATCGCACAACAAAATTAAGAATTGTGGGATATAATAAAGTTAAGGTACCTACCTCTTTCGACAATTTAATAAATGATTCCTTTATTTCTTTTGCTGAACATGTTCGAGATAAATTTAAAACATCATAGTGGTTACCTAATACTTTGCTGAAAAGTAATATATTTTATGTAGAAATTACTATATTGTTATATTATAACACTAATCTTAAAACTTCCATAGCCAAAATATATATTTTTTTAGATTTTCTCTATTTATTCCTAACCTACAATGTTGGAATGTATATATGTACCTAGAAAAATATTTAAAGATGTTTGGATTAATATACTGTAATAATGTAGAACATAATGTAAGAGACATGCTAATTTCACTTAGAATTTTGAATCATTTTAAAATTAAATTTTAGATATTTACTGTGACGACTTCTATGACCTTGGGCAACATGATAATGAATGACAGAAATGACAGAATTGACAGTTTGTCATTTATTATATCTGACACTCGGACCATAGATAAGTGACTGCAATAGACAATTACTTCACTGCAAGCAGCAAGAATATAAATGAGGGATGGATCGTTCACAACAGAAATAGTTCTCTTGTGTTCAGATCTGATAAGAAAGAACAAGAATTTTTATTTCATCCGTAGATATTAATAAATATATCTAGTTTTACATCTATTTATACTTTCCAGAGAGAAAAACACCTTTCTCTCCAGTGCAGGCACATGATTGGCTAACGCAACTCCCTCTTAATATTCAAATCAAATGACTTGAGAGAGAGAGAGAGAATAGAGCTAGTACCGAAATTATCTCCCTTTCTCTCTTCAGTAGCTACACTTTTTAACATGCTGTGCGCCTCCATGTAGTATATGCTCTAAGATTATATCTGTACCAGTGGTGTAAATATATGATCCCTTTTCTTTTAGCCATGATTTCGGAATCATAACGCGTTACGATCCGATAGAAACCAATCAGGTCATTTAAGACCAACTCAAACGTCAAATTTATACTATAATTCACACCACACACCACACCATAAATAAGAGAATTTAAGTTGAAACTTATAATTTCCACACTTGCATATTCAGGAATGCAGCTGAGCTCGCCCTCTGGCGGTGACAACTGACAAGTGATACTAGCGAAACAAGGTAAACATTTCTTGTGTGACATTACTGACATTTCGTATTCGTTTTGTATTTTATTTAAAACTGTGTTTAGTGTTCGTTTTTTGAACACTGTTATTTTAAGAAAATAGTGTGAGGAAAACTTCAGCAATTATGGATAGAAAGAAGAAACTGTCAAACTATTATTGTTCAGTTCAAGGTTGCTCTTCATGATCCAAGAAAAATCCAGAATTAAGTTTTCATCAAACCATTGAAGAAATTTGCAAAATATTGCCAATAGATAATACTCCCTGAATTTCATGAGGGTTGTTAGTAAGTAAGGGCACTAGTTTGCAGACACAATATAAATTTCTAAATTTAAATTAACTGCCCAATTTTCCCATATAGTACTGCATGATCAGCGTTAAAAACTGCCTCTCCTGATATACAACGAGAGTTTTCGTTGGCATATATGTAAATAGGATATGTATTCCACAACGGATAAGTTCATAGTTATAACCTAATAAAATGTATATTAAATTGTAATGCTAGAGACAAATAAAGTAGACATAAATACTTGCCCAAAAATTTATTTATGAAATATGTGAAACCTATAAAATAACACAAAAGTCAAATAACCGTAGTTTGATAACCAAATTACTAATAATAATGGCAAATAAGACAAATGTTCAGATGAATGTGTAAATACGAACGGCAATATCAAGATTACCTCGTCTCAGAACTTCCTGCTTTCGCCACTTGGTGTGCTTGCATCTTAAAAATTATCGCGGATAGTATGAATTGAACGAGTTATATTTTTATTATTACTCTATAGCAAGGTAGGTAATTAAAATATTTATATACTGATAATTTTTTTAATTCTAAAGATACTGTAACAATATTGTGAGAAAAATGAAAAATTACCAATTTGCAAAAATTATTATTTTTAATAAAATGTTTAAAGCATTACGCCAATGAATAAAACACGCTGAACTTACTTAATAGATATATATATATTTCAAATATGTAATTTATATTACATAATAAAATAATGAGCTATAACTGAAAAAATCCATCAAATTACTTGGATCGCCAGATCAAGCTACTTTTACTTGAAATAAAATGTGAAAAATTACAATCTGACTGATTCTTGCAATATTTACCAAATTTACATGGTTTTGGATGAAAAAATTGACAGTTACTGTTGGTGCAATTAGGAAAAAATTTACAAGTCTGAAGTCCCAACGGCGCCAATTTAGCAGAAGCTCCCGATGAAGTTCTCGATACTAGAATGAAAATTGGTAAAAATTGTTTACACACATTTAGGGTAAAATAAAGACGATTTGACTTACTTAACTTGGCAGGGGCTGCATGACTGTAAGGACATTCCCTCTTTGTGCAGGCACTTCCAAATTTGCAATTAGGATGCAAATACAGACATTTTTCTCGAAATTTGCAGAGAGGAAACATTTCGCAGGGACTGCTGGGATGAACAAATTCACACTTGTCCCCTTGCCGGCAATTCGGCCAATATTTACATCTCTCTTTATTTTTAACAGAAAGAGAGGGATGTACTATGGGAAGTTTGTCCGGTATATTGGGTTTACTGTTAACTGGAGAAGTAGAAACCTTGTCGAAAATGATAGGAGAAGGAGACTTCTTGATATCAAGCCTAGATTTTACTGGCAGTTTTAAGGGAACTCCGGGCGACGTTTTTCTGTCCAATCTATCTTTAATAGATGACTTGGGTTCACTGAATTTTTTTTCGATCCCGTCAAGTGTAACGATAAATTGTTGATGAATTTCAGCGTTATCTTTTAGATCTGTAAAAAAATGTTTAATACATCATTACAACGTTACCAGATTATAAAAAAAAAATATTTAAAATCGGAGCTAATAATAGTTGCCGATATTAAACAACAATGCGTGTGCCGACTTGGCATTTACGGTTAAACACTGATCATGAAATCACTAAATGATGTGTCAAAGATAAGACTTTATGTTAAAGGTGGCAATTGCACCCCATTTTCATTCAATTCAGTTATAAATTTTACACTTATGGTAAACAATAAATGAATGAATCTTACCCCCTGATAATCGATGAGAAGGTATATACTTCGGCGTCTCTTTTGGGCATTCTTTAATAGGCTTAGGTATATACTCCTCCTCACTTTTTCCATCACCTTCACTGTTATTCGCTTTACTTTGTGAGGCATGAGAGAGAATTAAATGCTTCAGTTTATTCTTTTCCCTTTGCGAAAACTTTCTCATAACCGGAGCTTCCTCTTCTACATTTTTTTCACTGTCCCTTGTTACCTCCGAATTCAAAGAAATGGACTGAAATTTAAACGTTCCGTTAAGAAATATGCAAAAGTTTTGGCTTTTAAAAAATATACCTTCGAGTGAGATCCCACATGTGGTGTTTGGGCCACACTTCTTTGAGCTTCAGCCACCGCTTTTAGAAGAAGGTTCTTATTAGGCTGTGGTGTTCCAGATGGGATAATACGGGGTTTTACTTGGACCATGCTCCTTACTTCTCGTGTTTTCAATTCATTTTCGGGTTCTGGCTCGTCCGGTTCTTTTACAGGTACAGAAACCTTTGACATTACGCCAAGTCTACTTAGAATTCCCTAAATAATTAGAAATTACTATTTAACGTAAATATTGCTATTTACCTTTATTGCATCGTTTATAAAAAATTCCTCTTCCATATGAATATTTTTTGAAAAATGCTCTCTTTTTAAAATAAGCAGTGTTAAAGATAAAATAAAAAAAATTTTTTCAATACTAGCATAGATAACAGTGGCAGCTTGTGGCTATTATTAATTTATTAAAGAAAAATACTATTACATATTCTTGAGTCTGATGTTATAAATACTATTTTTACAAAAAAAAGTTGTTATTTCCTTTTTGTCATTCATAAACAGGCAGTAAATATGCTGATTTAATAAAGATACCAAATATTCCACTTCTTGAAAATAATTTGAGAGTTCATAACGAATGTCTAAAGAATAAACGCGCTTAAAATTTTATTTCATCAATTGAATTGAAATAAATACTCACTTCCTTCCTTAGGCTAGACCTAGTACCAACAGATCTATCTCTGTTCCTATCCCTGGACCTATCTCTTCTTCTTTCTTCAGAAGAACTCCTCCGAGAGTCATTTTCTCTCCTACTTCTATCTGTTCTGTATTCTTTCCTCCTTCTCCAGTCTCTTAGCCTTTCCTCATTCTTTTTATCACTAGAATATTTCAGAAAAGGTTCTTCCTCTTTTCTAAATTCGGATAAACTTATCCTAGTTTTCAACGGATTTATATTTAAATTATCATTTGGTCTGCTACCTAATCTTTTTAATATTGATATTTTTCTAGGAGGACTTTCTTCCTCAAAAGTAATACGTTTATGCTCAGTTTTCTTCTCAAAACTTGTATTACTAATTGTAGGTTCCTCGGCTACAGATAAACCGGTTTCTTCATTTTTACTTACTCTATCGTTTTCATCGTCAAGTTCACTTTGAATATATGTCAAAGTCTTAGGATTATTAATTTTCTTCTGTTTATTCCTTTGCCCATCTAAGGACAGGATGTTATAATCATTTTATATCATTGACATACACACATGTAATTTAATTGCAAATGATTTCTATTCTACAGAGTATTCAAATGGAGTCAAATGGGTCAAATATCACCAATGTTTTCTACTATGAATGTCAAGGGTGGGTTGTTCAAATAAAATTTTGTCAAAAAATGCTTCATTGCCGAGATACCGAGGGCTGAAATTTAAATCACCAGGTACAAAAATTCAGTGGTGTGCAAACTGCATACTTGGAACCCTTGGAAGAGGGGAAAATAGAATCATTTTATATTACAATATTATCATCGTAGGTAGTTACAATTTTAACCATTAATGTTTTTTTGCACAAACACCGAATTCCCAGTCAGATCTGAACATTTGGAAACCGTTGAGGACTTTTGCAGAAACAAACCTTTCTAGGATTCTACTTACACTGAATATTTTACTAAATACAAACAAAAAACTCATATTTGTTGAAATACTCGTCATAAATTTGTTATTTTCAATAATATGAAATTAATACAACAAACAATTTTTTGCAGTTCATTTAATTACTCACCTCTTTCAGACTTAATTTCAGGAAGTTCTTCTTCTATATCGCTGTCAACTAATAATCCAAGCCTACTCTTAACACTTTTTATCTTTCTTTCGATCTCCTGCAGGTCTTTTTCACTAGAGATGTTATTAACTTGTGATAGCAAGGGAATATCAAAAATATCATTATTATTACTACTACTACTTTCATTCACAACAGTTATTTTTCTTTGTTCAGACAGTCGATTTGAATTAACTGGTAAATTATCCGTTAATGAATCAGTATGCTCCATTTCCGTGTTTATAATTCGTTCTTTTCTTTCTTTAATCGATACCAAATCTTTCTTCTCTTTTTTAACTTTAACATCAGGTGCCTCTGTCAATTTTCTCTTAGTAACCTTCTTATAAACCTCTGAAATATAAAAGTATTAAGATATTACTCATATCCTTCAAACAATAATTAAGTCTCTTTTAAGTAACAACTTACCTGGATTTGTAACCGTAACTTCCTTTAACTTCTTTAACACAATGTGCAACCAGTCAACAAAGGTTGAAGTTTTAGTAGATAAAAACAAATTCAAGTCCTCGTTCATTTGTGATTTTGTTCGTTTATTCGCTACCATTACCATAATATAATCAGGTAATTCATCATCTAAAAATATAATCGACTGATTACAAAACAATGCATAAATAAAATGTTATAGATCTTACCTACATAGCAATTAAGTTCTAAAAGTTTTGCTTTGATTGCAGACTGAAAATAAATTATTAAATATATATAGCTAACCTTAAAACGATTATGGAAAAAAACACTCACTCTCATTTTTTGCCCGACTTCCGCCCCTATGCTGTCCATTTTGTTTTATAATTTCAGGAAATAATTCTAATAATTTTATCAATAAATATAAGCATAAGTAATATATTAATACGTTCTTATAAACATCCAAAAATATGCGTTTTCAGTTCCAATTTATCAGACATCAAACAAGGTTGGTTTTGGTTACAACGATTAGTGTTAGGTTACACGTTAAGCTGGTTAATGGTCACATTGGTCACTCTCCCCAGTAAAATAACCAAACTCCTTTTTTACATTATCTTAAAAACTGATAGAAATATACATTCGAAAAGAAAGAAAAGTTCCTGTAGTTTATTAAGACATGGATACCCATTTATTGATCGATAAATATACTGGTAAAATTGGTTCATGCTGGTTTATAGAAATTAAAATATAAAGTTTTGATTTTATTATGGTATTGGTATACATACTCATCATGAAAAATTCCTTATTTTTGACATTTAACATGTGTTGACAGTGAAAATGACACTAGACAGACAGAGGTTGACACTTGACAGGTTTTAATTATTTAGTTGTCAGTATCAAACAAATACATATTCAATTTCAATAAAAACTTTAATTTAATTCTTAATAAAATAATAGTTATGTAGAGAGTGATATGCATTAAATTGTACCTATGACTGGAGCTAACGTCCAATTTCATAACCCTCCTCCCTTGTATCATGAACATGGGGGGACTGTCGTGCCAAGTGGTTCTGTAGAAGCAGGTGCACCCCCTACATATGAAGAGGCTATAAATCCAAATGGTATAGTTGCATAAAATTTATTTATTTTCGAAGATAACATCTCAGTAATAATTTGTTTTGTTTTCAAAGAGAAAGTAGTAAAAAAATTAAGAATAATTCTGAAGTAGGAAACAGGTTTTTTATACATATGTGTAGTTATATACGTATTCCATTTCTTTGAAACACCAATTCTTGCTATTGCATTTTACAAGTTTTTTTATTAGATTAAATTATATGTTTTCTAAATAATTGATTGTTTAAACTGCAGTCGGAATTGAACTATTTTACGTTCCACTAAATTATTCCAGCAAACAATTCTAGAAACAATATTTATTAACTACATGTCTTTAAATTGACCATTTCTGATAAGGTGACCAACTGTCCTGATTTAGTTGGGGCAGGTTTTGGATTTTCTTTGTTTTTCAAATAAAACAAATATCCTGAAACGTCCCATTTTTAAATTATACAATTACTTTTTACTTTGAAATTGTTATTAATAAATATACTACAGTATATAATTAAATAAATAGACATCTTAGTAATAATAATTCAGAACAGTTGTAAATTACTGTCACCACCACCAACATATAACAATTTAATGTCTCGTGAAGGATTACAATTATTAACGTACACTGATAAAAATATTCAATATGTCAATCGTATACTGTTAAGCCTCAATTCTCGAAAATTCTTCTTTTTTTCATATTTACTTGACAAAGCTAACAAGATATTTTTCTAAATACAAATTTGATATTTTTTCGTAAATATTTTTTAGTTAAATCTATTTTATATGTTATTTTTATTTTTAGCTCCACCTCCTTCATATGATTCCCTCTTCGGAAGGGTACGAGAGGCTCAAAAAACTAGCAAAGGTGTTTTGGAGTTTATGAAAAATATTGTTATTATAGTTTTAGGAACACGTAAGTAAAATTTTTACACATATATAATCAGTTCTGCACAAAATTTTACACATTTTATATAATTTTAGTTGGTTGTACAATAATATTAGGAGTTACAATTGTTATTCCAATATGCATGATAGTTATGGGGTCCATTTATTTACATGACTGTCCTCAAGGGGAATACATTCCTGTATATTTATTAGTAGGCGGTAAGTTTGAATATGTTATAGGATTAGAATTACTTCTATGTCGGACTGTAATAAAAGTATATTATAATTTTATGAACAAAAAATTGTGTTCATTAATTACAGAAAATAAAGGTTTTTGATACACTTTCTGTTCTTACACTAATTTGATTTATTTTGAGTACCAAGACTATTTTAAAAAACATTGAAAAAATTCTTTGATATAACCACAAATTGGCAAATATCTTGTTCTTCATTCTTTGATAAAAATGTAATGCTCCAATTTTACTTTCAAAATCAAATTTAATGTTTACCTGAAGCGCAAAAGGAAATTGTTATGCCCTCTCTCCTATGTCTAAGCTTTTTTAGGTATATTTGGTATAGTCAAACAACTTTTACATTTGTCGGCAAGAGTGAGGCAAACAGAAGAGGAGAGGCAAGAAGAAAATTTAAGGCAATCTCCAACACAAACATTATTAAATTGTTTTATGCTTGGATGGTTTATAATAGGTTAGTATAATCATTATTTTTTTTACTGGTAAATATGGGGAATTTTTCTTTAACCTTGATAGCATTATTGGTTTTGTTTTGTAGATAACGAAATAATACCAAGGATATACTTAAACCAATAGGTACACTTTCAACATTAAAAAAAATTATATTCATTATCCATTACTAAATTATTCTTGACCTGAAAATAGAAGCGCAAATTATTCACGTTTTCTTTTAAGTATAATACTTTATAATTACGAAATTACTGATGTTTTTTTGTGTTCTACTAATCTTATTTGTTTATTTCACAATTTATTACATCCACAGATGTAAATGCAGTTTTCCAATTAGGTCGATTATTATCAGGGGCAATAGGATCAAATTTATTAAATAGTTAATTTTAATCTAGTCTTTTTCTCATTAATAATATTCCGTAAATTGTCATGAATGAAAATTAAAAAAAAATACGAGAGAAAGCAAAGAAAATAACATTACAAAAACAAAAAAATTAAAACAAAATCTGGTAACACTAAAAAAATACAATTTATGAATTTTAGAAATATAATAGATAGTAGCAAAAATGTGGTTGCCCTTACTACTAGAGTTTATCATTAATTTTTATTTTAGGTTCCGTTTGGGTGTATAAAGAATATGAACCAAACTATGATCCGACTTTTGGCAAATATTGCAACAAAAATTTATACTTGTTTGCCTTTTGGTTAATAACATCTGTGTATATATTATTAGGTATGGTTACAGTTTGTTTGTGTTCCATTAGTATAGCAACTGTGGTATTTCACACCGAACAAAGAGACGAAAATGAAGTCAATGGCCGCCTTTGGTAAAATGAAATAATGAAACACAAATATATTCCTAAGTAATCGGGCTTTCGAATTCTTATAACAAAATGGGAGAAAGAGTATTTACCTGTTATATGCGCGGAATAATATTCTAGTATTATGATATTGGATGCTTTGTTGAAATTCATAAAAAGTAACGCTTTGAATGCCAACAAATCATGAGTGAGAATGAATAGCGCTGTATTTATCGGAAATAATTCATAGAAGTGCTACCATACCTCATTTTGTACGATTGAAACTGATAATTTTTCAGTCAGCCACATTTCATATAAAACGAAAACAATGCTAATAGCTACATTGCTATACTGTGTTAAAAATATATTCAAATTCATGCCTTTCCGTGATTTTCAATTGAATTTCACTGTTATTAAATAAGTCTATTCGTAGCATTGGATAATGCGGTTACGCAATTTTTATCTAAATTAATTATTGTGTTTGAATATATTTGTGTTTCAGTTCTTATTTTAAAAATTGCCATACTTATTGACTGTGATATGAATTTTTATATCTGATTTTTATTGCTAGAAATTGGCGATTTTTTTTATTAGTTATATAATAATTTGTGTTGTACCTATAAATGTAAACATTCTTTAAACCCTTTTGAAATCAGTTGCATCGGTACCGATAAAATTATTTCAATGGGGAAACTTGAGTGTATAATAACGCATATATAATGTATAAATTTTTTTTGTACTTTAGAAAACATTCCAGGTATATTTCAGGTGCAACAGCCATTCGAGCAACATTCGTAATCTCATTTTTCTTATGTTTTTTTTTTGAAAGACGGTTTTAGTTGAGAGATATTTTGAATCTATTTAGTTTTCTAAAATACGTAACTTTAAATAATCTTCCATGCATTTATGCCATGTCCTACGAAAGGTGTAAAACAGATAGAAGTATCGGTTAACTACAGTTTAACAGTTTCATCTTATCAGTGAAGGTCTAATGCATAATAGCAAAGTGTAGAAGAATCATTTCGGCTCTCGTGGGGTAAACGCTGTATTTTTTCGCAAAATCTAAGATAACTGTAATGAAATTGATAATATTTCGTTGTGTACATTTCCTGCATGACATAATTTGTTTTGAATTGCATCGATGCATTAAAACACCATTGTTCCGAAATAGAATTACTTTGCATTTGATCACCTATTTTATTTCGAATATTTGACGGGACAAGAGTATAAAGGGCACTTCTAGAATTTATATTTATATTTCTCTATTTGTGTTACATTTTTTGGCAGACATTTAATTAACAATTGTCTTTAATTTGATTATGATGAATTTTATTGAACTCCAATAATGTGTGTAGTAATCTCTATTAGGTTTGTTCCAGCAAGATATTCGCAACATGTTACTAACAGTAATACAGTGCGCATGATTGTTGCGAACATGTTTCCAACATTTTTGTGGTGGAACGGTCCACGTATCTGCCAAATTGTAAATAATAGTCACATAGAATAATTTATTCTGTAATTCTATTTGCGATATGTTTACTTAATTTAAAATGTTCTATAATCCGGTCTCGCTAAAGTTCTTTACAATTTCATTAATGTAATTCTTATTTTTCGGGCGTTGCCGATCTTCCATTAATTTAAAAGTTCTAATTCTATATCTAATCATCGTCTGTATCCACATAGTAATCACTTTCCGATGATGTACCATTCAAAGTTGTTTTCCAGAATATTCATTTTACTAAATTTTTGAAGAAAGTTGCATAAACCACAGAAACAGAAGTTTGGAATTGGGAAAGTTAGGTTAATATCGAAATGTTTGATAAAAGTTGGCAAGCAAATCAAGTAAACGCCAACAAGTTAGAAACCAATACAAACGGTTGCTGGAACAACAAACACTTGCAAAATGTTACCAACTTTCCTTTGCTGGAACATCAAAGTATTACTGCGCATGCCTCGTATTGTTTGCAACATTTCTGACACTTTGCTGGAACAAACCTATTAAGTTTGATTAGGTGTATACTATTATTTTAATATTTAATTGTGGTACTGTTATAGTGATTCATGCAAATGGTTTATTAAAAATTGCCAAATTTTTTCCAAACAAAATTTGCATTCAAAGAAAGATGCAGTAAAATTACTAGTAGTGAAATTATTTTTCAGTAACGCTACGTCCAGTGGCATAAAGGCCGTTTGCAATTAATTTTGAAAAAATTCCATGATATTTGAGAAATTCCCTAATGTTTTCAGAATTGGTATAGTGTAAAATTAAGTGATGTTAAAATAATATTATTTTAAATTATAAATCTGACTTTCCAAAACTTGAATGAACCCTTTGCTTGAAAATACAGGGTATTTCGGAAATATTTAAAAAAATTAAATGACGAAATTCTTGTTCAGTTTTATAAAGCATAAACTAGAGAAGGACCTCTAAAAAGTTACTGCCCATTTTTGGTTAACTATAGAAATATTTTTCAATTTTTCTTAAAAACAATTGCACCTAAATAATTTTCTGGGACACCCTGTAGCACTGAATTATTCGACTTAATATAAACTAGGCTGCTAATGATAAAGTATTGCCCCTATTTAAATTAAAATTATTTAAATAAATGTATTGCTATAAGTTATTTTTGCTTTGTTCTCATTTTTATACTGAAAATATAAATTAAAACAAATTGTATACCTCCAGTTCTGTACATTGGCAAAAATTTGTGTTAAATATGTATTTACATTATACGTTATACAGTGTCGTGCAAAAAGTTTTTATAAAAACATTTTATTCAGCCTGACCGTCTCGCCATTTCCTGTAAGTCACTACACAGATGTTCCGATTTATGTACAACCCATTAACATAATAAGTAAAAACAAATGAAATCCAAACATTTTTTTTAATAGACCCTAAAATGTTATATATTTGAAAATTAAACCAGCTCGGCTCTTTTGGGGATTAATCATTGAAAAATTACATTTATTTTTTTTTATTATTATTAAATCTAATAACACAACATTATTCACACCTTTCTAGGCGACTTTGTATTAATTTTTTTGTATATAAAATTAAAAACAATTCCGGGAATATTTTCGTTTATTTCACCGATTTCATCATTTTTCATTTTCATTAAATTTTTTCTTAATCGATATTGAAAAAAGACAATGCACTTTTGCATATGATTTATACTTTTATTGCAAAATTAATCGTAAAATTTGGGATAATCATTTTACTATTAATAAAAACACTAATAATTAAAAAATTGTATTAGGCCATTCCTAGGAAAGTAGAATTGGCATTTCCAATAAAAGAATTGCTAATAAATTGGACTTCCCAAAAAAATTGTAGCAATTTATAATTTTATTTGTTTATTTATTATGTTAATACACCTTTAAATCAGAATGCCCTTTATAAATTTGTGTCCAATACAATAAATTTTTACCAATAAAGAAGAGGCTTAATAAACAATTGTAAAAATTATTTTATGTACAAAATTGATATGCTAATAGACGAGGCAAAATTCAATATTACATGAAAGTATATTATTATAATACAGTTTACTATAAGTTCTCTTTTACTTTGCTGCTAAGGTAGACGATGAGAGTAATATAATGGCCACATATAATCAATTTGCTAGTGGGGTCCATTTTTTTAATGAAATTTTGATTACGATAAGAAATATAAGCTGTCGTGATTAGATGAAAGCCATCCAATCAATAATTGCTCAAACAAATACACATTGCGCTTCATTTGTAATGTTCGCAAAAAGTTGATTCATCTTTACAAATGCGTACATTTACGTTCATGCATCTGATGTCGAACAGTTGGCAAATGTTTGTGTTGACCTGTCAAGGCTATTGTTCATTGACTGCAGCATAATTATAAGCAGCAGTAATAATATTTCAGAATTCCTATAAGGCAATTGTTTCTAACATTCCAATTTCATTATACTGGAAAAAAATTGTATGAAGAAATTCCAAATTATCGAAAGACTGCCTTTTGAAGTATTTATGTTAAAATATATTCAAGGTATTCCAAAACTAAGTGTAAACAATTACATTTTTCCCGAATGATTTACGAGTTAAACACTTTAATAAGAAACATTCTGTATATAAATATTTTAGGGAGACGTTTGAAGCACGTTGTGGACACCTTGGCAATTACTAAACCCTTTTTGAGATTGTGTTGTATTCATTGCTATTATTTAGAGATGCACCAAATAAATTAGAAATTTTTGAATTATCAATGTAATATTGTATTTTGTGTGTAAGCAAAATGGTTTTGTATTTTTTTGTGTGTGAATAAACTGTTGTTACAGCATTGTCTTAAATGTGCTTTTATTTTTCTTGACACCACAAATAACACTGAATATTTTTTAAATCTACAAAACACAAAGGGAATCAAGCAGAATATCTCGGTAATAAAATGGTTTTATTAAACGTTTTTATCAAAATACTCTCAATGTTAACATAAACAATAATTAAACAAAAACAACAAGGATTAATATTCTAATTTAAACTTTGCCATAAGCGACAAATGGTCTGATCCTACCACACTGTTCGGAATGTTTATTCCTAGTAACTCTTCTTTCGTTGGAAGCCTGTACCTTGATAATAACTTGAATTTACCTTCAATACTTACATCATAGTTTTTTGTACTGAAATAAGGTAAGTTTTAAATATGTTCTCAAATATTAATTACTAAGTTTTAAGCCTGCAAAATATGTATTTTTGAATAAAAACGTACCTATAAAATATATAATCCACCGTCACCCATTCTCCCTGAAACGTAGTACCCTCATTTATTTCAGGACGCCCTTGACTATAAACAGATTTGAAAGAAAAATTATGAGTCAATGTTCCAGTAGAGTGTAATGCTGTGTTTACGTCTTTTTTGTTACTTTGCGTTTCATTACTTTTATCGCTATGAAATAATTCGATTACAGATAATTCTTTAGTTCTCGATAATTTTTCATTTTTCATCCTCCTTTCAAGCAGATCGGCATGTTGGCAATTATCTGCAGAAAGATAATAATCTCTATAAAAGGTAAGAGTCCCTCGAAATACAAATATATGAAATTGTTCCGAAATAAATTGGTTTTCCAGTGATGGTGGTGAAAATGGTGTGAAATTTAATTGAAACGTGTGACCCATATTTTTTTTGTAGGGGATGATTTTTTTCTAAACACAGAGAGAACTTTTGTAAATGAAATGTGTAAAATAAAGAAAATGGGGATGGCCTACCCGGAGGTAATATTCCATTTTTCTAAGCTCGTCATACTGTAACTTTAAGAAAATTGGAAGTTTTTTGAAAAATAAGGAAACACCTTTTTATATCTATCAGTTAATTATGAAAAAATATGATATACATTTTTACGAGCCACCACTGTCTATAATACAAGTATTAAAACCCTACAAAATCAATTTTTTTCAACTAGATCAATTTTAAAAAACTTTACCTGTTATTCTTAACTTTGCAGGCACTAACAATTTGCCTGTGAATGAACTGGTACCCTTCTTTAATGCCCTTGGAGACAAATCTTCATATCTCAATTTGCCTTTCGTTATAAATTCATAAACTGCAGAATCCGGTGTTGAATTTAAATCGCCCGCTAAAATTACTGGTAGGTAGTTACCCCTTAAAAAGTTTCAAATTCTTATTCATGGCAAAGCAGTTTCCAAAGAAATTTAATATGGTTTTTTACAAGAAGACGGCTAAATTTATCTCGTTCCAATTCGGCATGCAGACTTTGTTTTAGATTTTCTTCAAATACATGTAAAATTTAACTCTAACTTCATTTTTCAAAATATCGGAAATGTAGAATGTGACTTACTCTGATTGTGCGTTGTAACTTATTCGTTCTATTTCAGTAAGAAGCAGCTGGACTTGTGCTAGCCTTACATCTTGTCTTCGAGGATTATACAAAAGATGAGTAGTTGCAATCACAAATTCTCTGGTTGGGTGTAGCTTGGGTGAAAATTTCGCGATGAGACCGATGTTGTCTCTATTTAAAACTGATATGTCTGGCTGAAAATATTCTACTGAGGTATGTTCCACCAACTGTATAAGGTCCGTCTTATAATATATGGCACATCCATCAGTTTTTTCACCCGTTCTTCTCTTATATATACTGGAATACCCTTCAAAATTAAATCTTTTTGTGAAAAATTTCAGTAGATGAAACATGTTTCCAAGTATTTTATAGTTAACAATTTAAATTTGAATAAAAGCCATAGGAAAATAATTAATAAGAAAAAACATTTTATGCAAATATTTATTACCTACCTATAGTTTCCAAAATTGAAAAATAATTTTTATTGTGCGATTCTTGCACTTCTTGTAAACACAGCACCTAAAAATTAGCATATTATTAACAAATAATGATACTATTGAATACATACATCTGGTTTAAATTTTGTAATTTCATTAAAGATATTAGTCCACCTCACATTCCACTGTAAAGAGACATTGTTGTGATTGTTATATAAATAAGGATGTTGCGATAGTAAATCTTGAGACAAAACATTGTAGCACATCACTGTGAAAATAAATCCTGGTCTATTACTTTGATTTTCATTTTTCACGTTCTCCCATTTTCTTAAAGATAATAATCTTTGATCTAGAATTAATTTACATTTTAATAAAATTATTCACGATAAATACTGGTACAACATACGTTTGGCTAATATTTTTTCCCCAAATGAAACTATTTATTTTCAAGATCATGTATGGGGGACAAATATAAACTAAGTCGTTTTTATTTACTTTTATTTTTTATTACATCTACATTGATTTATTAAAATTAATGATTGCTCAACTACCTAGTTTTATAATTTTTCTCAATAATTGAAAGCTATTATGATCTTACCGTTATTTTCTTCTTCGCAATTGTTTTCCTTAGCATCTGAGAGTGAGATGCACAAAAGAAAATATATAGCAAGCAATAAAAGCCAGCAACTGCTTTGCTTTTTTGAAGTAAAACCTAAAGGATGTTAATTTTAATTAAATACAACCATTTTATTGTCATTTTTAAAAATTTATTATCATGTTATTATTTTGCTGTTAATATACTATTTTAGTTGCATGCTTTTCTTTGAATAATAATAATAATAATAATAATAATAATAATAATTATTATTATTATTATTATTATTATTGCTTATGTCTCTTGTTGTATAAAGCTATTGCAATAAACTTCAGTGAATTTATGCTGAATTCTGTGAATATATAACGGATAATTACACAGTGGAAATAACATAATTTTGGGCTTTCAATGTGCTTCAACAGTCAACTTTATTTTTTCCTTACACAAGATGTGACATTGCATCGTTGTAACAACTTACGCTGATGAACTGAAGTGAGTTGAACACAAGAATTGTTTAAGAAAAACGTATATAGAACAGTATTATCAAATTTCTAAACACAAAATCTATAACTTTAAAGGAAGACGTAACTTACTGCTTACTGAATATATCATAGCATTCATATTCAATCACGTATTAGCCAAATATGATATAATGTGTTATCAACATAATCTAATAGATAGATACATACAACGGAATAGCCACATTAAAAAATACTTACCATTTCTTTGTTCTAGATTTTTGATCTCGTGTTCCTTATCAGTTCGGCAATAATGTCTGTTTGAACTTTGTTGAAAATATTCTCCCATATAACAATAATTGCTGGTATGATAAAAATTTATATTGTAAAAGTTTGTTGCGACACTATTCAGGGATATTATAGGATGAGTTAATACTAAATTAGGGACATATTCCACAGGTCTAGTTTCATTATTTGCATTTAAATTATCAACACTGCTGCAGTCCCAATTGCTAGGGCTAGATCCACTTGTTGAAGGAATTCCTCCTAAGTTATAGATATCACTTTCCTTAGACATTTTTTGATTTTGAAAACTGACTTTTGACAAACATTTGCATATGTGTATATTAGATACAAATTCAAGTGTTCTTCTTAGTATATTTGACCACTGATTTACATTAATAATTATAAATGCAGTATTAGCCAACATCACACATTACTCTAACTTATGCAAAAAATTTTCATAAAAATTAAAATTTCAGAGTTAGCCATTTAAAAATACATAATCTTCAGTAATATTTAAACTGGAATAAAGGGCATAAAGTATACATATACTACGTATTGCTACTTTTGTAGTACCTAGCAGAAGCAAAATTTAGTTGTTTTTTTTACAATTATTTTAAAATGACAACAGCTGTTTCTAACCTAAATTTTAAACAATCACAAAACATTTTACAACTTTCAGATAATAGCTGCTTTCTTTTGGTTTCAGTTTTCGGATCTAAACGCGTTATGATCCCAAAATCATGTTTCTTAGTTGTTTTCTTGTTTCCGGATCTTGCCAGATTATATATGATCAGGATCGGCAATCCCCTTCCCCCTATGAATCAAACTTTTTCTTTGATTCGAACTTTTGATCACGATCACATATTTAATATAACCTTAAAATTGTGGTGGTTTCTTTTTTCTCTAAGAAGGCAATTACTATTTTTATTTTAATTGTGCGCAGAAGAATAGGTATACCTAAACGACATTTAAAATCAAATCAAATGTCAACAGTAAACAAAATCCTGTTCTCTTAGAAATTGGATTCAAGGATCTAGTTCGTGTTTGTCTAATTCTGATTCAGTGCAGGGGCAGGGTCAAAAAGTTGGTGTCTGTCTAGGTCTTTTGTGTTGGTCGGTCACGTCGGGTACGTAGTCAACGGCTTGCCTGAGGAAACGACTACGGCAAATTACAAGTTGCAAGTTCTATTATATGTTTTATACTGCAAGTTGTTGATAGCACGGTCCGTAAAGAGACCGTGTGTTGATAAGACGATAATCGAGTTGCACCACAAAATATGGACTAATCTGGGGTTGCGCATTCCATGACCGGGTCTGATTATGAACGCAGTCGTTTTTCTGCATGAACCACAGACTTCTATGAACCAACTCAAATAACTCAAACCAAACGCTCATTGGTCATTGGTCTGTGATGCTGATGCTCATTCTCATTGATCAGCGGTAAACAAGATGGCTGTTTCATTTTAATGATGTTTAGTGCTGAATTGTCAGCATTTTTTGAGGAAAGTGAATAAGTTTACCATTTTAAGAATATCTTAAGTTAAGGTATGTAATTCAGATGTAAAGATTTATTGCTATATTCTCGTAACAATTTTTTTATAGATAATTTGTTAACACTACCCCTGCCAGACCTTTAATTTGAAAACGAAGGTAAGATTCTTTTACATTCTGCATATCAAATAGGTTGAGATAAAAAGTAGTTTTTGTATATTTGACTTTTCATTATTGTTTAATAATTTAATATATGTTTTTAAATAAAATATTTGGTTTTGGTTAATATTATTTGGATTTTTAGTAAGTACACACCTACTTAGCCCTGCTAAGTATAGAATTCTGTTGCAGTCTTAATGCAATTATTATTATTTGACAAAATTATTATCAATATAAGTGACGCAAAACTATCTACTTGATGTTATGTTGAATGAAGTTTTCTGTTAAATTTAAGAATCTTATAAATTTTCACAATAAGAAATTATTTGCACCAGGGTGGTCCCAGTTCTAAAGATTCAAACACTATCACAGTAACTTCTATGCTGCACATATTGAGAATATGAAGATGTTTTAATTCTTAGAAAATGTATAAAGTAGAAAATCTATAAGGTGCTTTCCTTTTCCTTTTACAAGCAACCGAGTACAGATAAAAATGATGTGGTTTCTTTTATGACTCAGTTATGTAAAAGAATGTTCATCTAAGAAAAATGAAAATTTTGTACATTTTTAATCAATCTCACGTTAAAACTAAATATCTGGCATACCTGCCAGAAATATTAAAAATAGCAATACACTATACATGTTCAACACTAGGCTACTTGAATTAGAGATTTGTTGCGTGATGCGGTATTATCACGTGATAGCATGGTATACGCTATTATGTAGATCTTATTTAAGATTTAGTTATATATAAATTTAGATACTTATAATTTGAAATTCTGAATTTTCCAAGGAATAAATATAAATTGTTTTTTTAATTATTGGAATGATATAGGTAAATCTTTGAAAAGAATCAAATTTGAATGATACTAGTAAGTGGGGGCATTCTCTCATTTAGGACTCACTTCTACTAGTTAAAAGAAATGGTCAACTTATGTGAGTCATTATATAATTGAAAATAACTCGCATAAGTTTTTCTACAAAGGAGAAGAGGGAATATAATTTCAAATTTTAAAATCCTGCATAATTCTCTATTAAGTAGATATTGCACTAGAATGCCAAATGAGAAATCATCACAGCACAGCTCATTAGAATACATTTATTTAAATATAAATTTAATAAATATATTCTCATTTACTGTGCTGTATGGCATTGCTTCCAATTTAGCATCCTAAGGGGGATATCAATTTAAGGTTGTCAATGCCTACAATACTAAAAAAATAATAATTCCTATGTTTTGTATGTATTATTAATTATGTTATAATAGAAGTATGCAATGATAAGAATAAATAATTACTGAAATTCTGAATCATACAGTAACACATAAATTTGATAAACAAACATTTTTTTTGGGAAAAAAGCGCAAGCACAGTGATTTTAACAGCATATAGGTTCGTCTGTAAAAGATTTCTGAAATGGATTAACTGCTTTTGAAATCCCTTTTGTATTATAAGACCATTGTAATAAACGCCTAACTAAAAATAAAAACTATCTAAACGTTAAAAAAACATCTATATATTGAGTTCATAACTAGCTTTATAAATGCACTGTAAACAATCTATACATATTTGTTTTTAAATTTTTGTTATATTTTTTTTATTAAAATATCTTTGTGGTTCTAATTGATATTATATGCATTTATTTTATAAGAATATCGCTTATATGTTTATGGATATGAATAGAATATTTCCTTACAACTACTGTGATTAAGAGTTAATAGGTTATCTCTGATAGTAACAAAGATAGTATAGCAGTAATGTGTTGGAGATTATTATTAGTTTCTCATATGACTGTTATGGTATCTTTTTTTTATATCTTATTAGAAATTAATCTGTCAATTTTTATATCACTTTTTATCAAAGAATATTCTATTAAAGTAAAAACGTATATGGGGTGTTCCATTATAAAAAAATGTTGATAATGTTATTTTCTGTGATGTCGTTATTAAAAAATGTAATTGAATCAAACAAAAACGAAGCATTGCCTTCAAAAAAACTTATATCAATTTTTGTAAAATTTTTAGTGTGAAATGATTCTAGTAAAAACAAAAGAAATCAAATTGGAATTTCATTTTTGAGATTTAAGTTTGCTTAATTAGAAACTAATTTTTGCTATAATTTGAGTTTTGAAAGATTTTGTGTGCTTTGGAGAGTACAAATATTTGAGTTTTCTCACTGGTGAGGCCCCCATTTTTTGGGATATGTTATTAAGAATTATTATTCAGAATGAAAAACTGAATAAGAATGATACCAAATTGCAGTGTTATACATACTTTGGTTTATTGATTTTTTTTTAATATTTTTTAACAGTTTTCTGTGACATTTATCAGTAATTAAACAGACGTTTGATTTCATTCCTAGTGTTATAGGACATTCCATATATCATTCATAGTGTTATAGGAGATTACATATATCAATCCTGTTAAAAAATGAAAGTCAACGAATTGGAGTTAGAACATATAAATTTTGCACTCTTACTCTATTTTTCATTCTAAAAATGTTCTTTGAAAACAGTTTGTCATATCTTTCACAAACAGGGAATCTTACTAATGAGAAAAATTTTACATTTTTTCCTCAGGCATACTTAATTTTTTGAAACTAAAAGCACAAACTGTTTCGAATCAAGCAGAACTGAAGTTCAGGAAATGATATTTCAAGATTCCAAAATTAAAAAAAAAAATTAAGTCATTTCCCAATCCATATGAATTACGAATGACACTTTCTGTTTTAAATAGCTCTTTGTAAATATTTTGCTATCATTAGTATTTACCACTAGTGTTACTAATAGTTTTATAACATATTTGAAAGAAGAATGTGAATTCGGGCATCCATTTCCGTGCGTTTTGAGCATGTACACCAATATTAAGTAAATTATTAAATATGGCAGTCGAAATTAGCCATATTTGTATATTTACATTTATTTATTTAACAATAGGTCTGTCTGTCTGTTATAATAATATTTCTATAAATAAAATATTAATGAATATTTATAATCTTAAAACATTTTAGTGAAAACGGCTTACTTTTTAGTTAGACTTAATAACATATTTGGGCAATTGTTTTTGCCGTTAAAATTTATATATAACTATATTTTTATATTAACATAAATAATTGCTAAGGCAAATGTAAAATTCCATCTTAAATTTTCAAACATTCCTTAAAAATTACTTTAAGTATTTTATTACAGATGTAACAGGCTAGCTTTATTGGCAATATTAAATAAAGGATCTGCAGATGGCAGTGCCACGCTAGAGGTAGTAATTTAAAATAAAGTTTATACAGATATGAAAATATGGAACAAATTTTTAAAAGCAAAAAATCGTCTTCTCAAAATATTGTAATCAGATTAAACAATAGACAGATGTACTCTTATAAACATCCAGGTACCCATTTTCATTGTGCAAGACAATTCTACCAAAACGTATTTCCCAATTTTACTGTGATAAACGTAGAAAAGCCACCATGTTTTTTACGAAAATTCAGCCCCGATGGCAAACACTTCATAGCATTTTCTGCAGACCAAACTTCTCTTGAGGTGTACACTTACAAGGGACCAGCAGCTGCTGCAGATCTACTCTATTGTATTGAAGACAGAAACAATGATAGAAAACGCTTCGAAGTCAAAAGTAAAATATTCGAACGTTTCTTTCAGTTGAAATTTCGTGTAAATGTAGCAAAGGGAGCGGAACAGTTAAATAGAGAGTGCAGTCTGTTCAGTGAGGATGGAAGGTATGTAATAATCGGGTCAGCATCTTTTATACCAGATGAAATCAGACCACATTTTTATGAAATTTACACCAACAATGAATCAGTTACACCAAACCTCCAGAGTCCACTAGAAGATTACACGCTTCACTTGGTAGATCTTTATTTGGGAAAACTTTGTGACACAAGGCAGTTTAAAGTGGACAAAATTTTTTTGTCTCACAATCAAGGATTATACTTGTACAGAGATACACTTGCAGTGTTGTCTGTGCAGCATCAGATAATTCATATATTTCAGATTCTGGACGGAATGTTTGTCGATATAAAGAAAATTGGCCGATTTTGTTTTGAGGATGACTGCTATTTTTACAATTCTATATATCCTTCAGAAAGAGCATTCAGAGAAGTCTGCATAAATTCGCTAAAGCACAGGCTCTTAACTTTTTTGTATAAGCGTGCTGATATGATAAGCAAAACGACTAATGATCCCACGGAGTTGAGGAAATTTTATCACTACTTTGACAATTTTAACTCGTTAAAGATGTGGAAGATGCAGTTGCTTGATGAAAATAATCTGCTGATAAAATATGCTAGTGAGGACGTTGTAACTCTAAAGTCAACCGATGTCAATAGTCAGCCTCAATTTTTTGTGGTATATGATATGAAGACAAGTAAGATCCTCGCAGTGTATGAGAATACCTCAAAACAACTTCTTGATTTGTTTGAAAATTTCTGTGACTTATTCCGGAATGCAAGTATTTACAATGGAACTCAATTCACGTGTAGCCCTTCAAACAACATATATGCTCGTTTGTTGCAGCAGAGATTTAAACAGACTATTGTTAATGCAAAGTTCGGTGGAAAAACGGAAGCAACAAAAAGATTATTGGCACAGTTGCCTATTAGTGCACAATCGTACAGCAACTCTCCATATTTAGATTTATCTCTATTTAGCTATGATGATAAATGGGTATCTGTCATGGAAAGACCGAAAGCTTGTGGAGAACACCCCATTAGGTTTTATGCGAGGGACTCAGGATATCTGAAATTCAAAATATATGCTGGCACAATACGTTCCTCAACTTCCACCGTAAGACGTTTAGTAGCATTTACGTTTCATCCTACAGATCCTTTTGCGATATCAGTGCAGAGAGCTAATGCCGAATATATTGTTAATTTTCATATTCGTCACGATAGTCCCTTCGCAGATGATGACAATAGTGATGATTTTCACATGCTTAATTTTTTATAATACATCCACAAATAAATATTCTCATTTATTCATATTGTTATACTTTCTAAGTTAAAAAGTTAAATATACGTTTTGTATTGAAATTTTCTATTATTTTCTCTTTTTTCTATTGTTAGTTTAAAATCCCAAATATGAAATTTTATAGAACGGTTACATAAAATATTATGTTATAATGACAATATTCTAAGCGTAAATTTCTGTTATGACACTTAGCACATGTCAGAATAAATTATAAAGGTTCATTTAGAATCTAAATTTTAGATAATAAATCCATATGCCATTTTAAAATGGGCAATGATTATCACTTTATTTTATAGGTTCTTAAACACAATATAACATTTATATTTGTATTGTATACATGTTTCATACCTGTGTACTCTAGACAATGATCTAATTGGGATAATACATGTGAAATATTTTATAGGATGGTTATAGTTTTATAATCAAATTGCTAAAGTATTTTATTTTTTCCACACTTTAGTGCATTCATCGTCATAGTTGTAAATTGTATATTTTTTAATATATATATATTTAATTTTATAATTGAATTCATATTGAAACTGACCTTCAAATTTTAAATACATTGTTCAATTTTTAATTCATAATTTATTCATATATTGTAGTTGGCCAGAAATAATGGAGGCATTTAACTAAGACTGACTGATAAACAAATCACAAAAATCAAGTCGAGTAAAAAAATAAATAATCTAATCTCTCAAAAAATCATTTCTTTTTTAATTATTTGTGTATATGCATATGCATATATGCATATAAAATTCCAGAATACAGAGTATATCACAAAATATATTTGTACTGGAATCTTGATTACTGCAATTAGTAGAAAATTTATATTAATACATTATAAAATTTTGTATTAGTTTAAATATCTTCTATAATTTATTTGTCATTTTTGATATATGAGAAAAATTATCCTTTTTCTATGTGGTACAATAAATATTTTTGGACTGATGTTTAGATTCTTACAATATTTACTTTATTCAGAATATTTTTTTACCGCTTACTGCAAATTGGCTGTTTCAGTTATAATTCTGTACTTACTATTTATTTTAACCATGATGATTTATTTACTTAGTATTATATTTAGAATTAGTTTCTGAACTGTATTTTAAAAACCTCAAAAAACCTACCAGTTATGTACAGTGTTTTTATTTATATTTTGACACCTGCATAGAGGTTATTATGAAAATTAAAAAAAAAAGACGAGTTATACAAAATCACCGTTACCACTGGAAGATCCACTGACAAATCAATCATCTGTAATAGCTTCCTATTCAACTATGCCTCCCAAAGTAGAGAAAAGAAAGATATACATCAACAAAAGTTTTGTGCTTTCCCTTATTGTCATTTGGATTCATTAAATAAATTAATCCCAAAAAGTGTATAAACAAAAATCAGTTTAAATTTTTTTAATGAAACACCTACATATATTTTTACATGTTTGGATATAGTGATTGTGCTTTCTTAAGATTTCAGTTATATAAGTTTTGATAGATCTATTTCTAATAATAAGGAAAATAAGTCTAAAAGAGTGCCTCGTAAACATAAAGTGTTGGTAACTGATATCTCTTTGCTGCATATCATGCTTATGGCACACTCCTTTGGACATATTTACTACATATACACATTATATTATCATTAGAGATAAACCTAACAACTTAGATTATATTACTGTAATGCTAAGAAAGCGCTATGTTGAAATATGTTAAAGAATATACTGTGTTCCATTTAAAAAAGGTGATTGACTGAAAAAAGTTGCAATACCTGTAGGTATGTGTTTGTACTCAACTGAATTTGGCACAACAGGGCATTTTTATAGAAACCAATTACATGAAATCTAAATTATCTAACGTAATAGACATCGAGAGTGTTTTGAAAAAAGAGACTGATAGAACATTGAAAACTAAGAATGTTTTTTCATTTGACCATGGGTCTTTTGTTTCTAAGATAAAGGATTTTTTTTAAGTCAAATTTTAGCCATATATTTTCAAATAATATTGAAATGCATTGAAATTTGGTGTAGATGAAAGTGCTACATACGTTAGTGTTGTTACTTTTTAACCATCTGCTAGACTTGGTTAACTACAATGTTTCCCCTGTTACATTGTATGACAAACCATTTTTAAGGTTAAGTTCTTTACAGGATATGTCATGTATTGTAATATATTCATTTTACATAAAAAAGTACTCTTGTTGATATAGCTGGAAACATACAATTTTTGAGAACTACCCAATTTACTGTTACAAAGTCAATCAGATTTTATTATTTAACATACAGGGTGCCCAGAAACGCATGGGCCATACTACAAGGGTAAGAAAATAAAACGATTTAGATAAGATACCTCAGTATAATTTTGCTTACTTAAAACGTTATAGGCCCTTAAAAAAATTGTATTTGATTTAATTAATACTAACATTAACTTTTTAAGCCAGCGAAATTGTACTAAGGTAATTTCATCTAAGTTGGAGGAGGAAGCTACCCCTGAAGTGCGGCTTATTCGTTTCCGACACAATACAGGGGTGTATCAAGAAGTAGAAGCTGGTTGAATGTGGGACAGTTAATTCCGTTTTTCTCAGAAACTGCGTTAAGTGATTTTAATAGAGATATTTTTTTTGTGTAAAATGAAAATTTTCATTGTAATGTACAACATATGAAAAGCTTAACCCTAAAAGCTGTAACAAGGTACCGCTGGGAAAGGTCGTAACTAGCCAGCTCTAATCAGTGATTAAAAACTAATAACACTAACGTATTTAGCAGAAAAAAATATCAAGAATTCTGACCGATCAGTAAAGGTAAAAAATATTTTTTTCTAATTCATATAACATCGTATTTATGAATGTGTTATAATATAAATATGAACCCTGCATATGTCATTTCATAACTGAATTAATGGAAAGCAGATTTTTTTTATTTTAAAATAATTACTCCCAGAATAAACAAGATGTGAAGATAATAAGCAACCAACTTTCACATATTCATAGATTTTCTCATAAATATTTTAATAATGAAAACCCTAAAACTGGCCAAGAGTATAAGGTAGCTGCATAAAAAATTGTATATTTTTTCTCAGATACTCCTAAAATGACAGTACACAATTTATTTCCAATTATTATTCCATTTACGATTAACAGTTATAGGTAAATATAGCGAGAATAGAGGAGATTTCTGCAAAATATCCAGATTGTTAGAGGTAAATAATATTTAAAATTAATTTAACATTTACAAAATTCATGTAATACAGTGTTATACATTGTAGGTTAACTATGTCTTGGCCAACTTGGTCGGCATCCTCCGCCCCTATACCCACTGCTATGGCAGCTCCAGTACAATCAAGTTTAATACAGACTCCAATTAATACTGCTCCCGCAGTTATGCCTCCTGGATTAGCCCAGTATAGTCCCGAACAATGGGCACAAGCACAGCAACAAAATTGGCAACAATGGGCACAGTGGCAACAGCAATATCAACAATGGCACCAACAGTATGGGGCTGAGGTTATTATACTTGTTTCTGATTAATCTTTGATTTATGTACTTTAATTTTTTTTTATATATAAAATAAATGGATAAAAGGTATTTCAAATACATTCTATAATTTTTTTAGTACCAAAAATCTATAAGTGCTCTCCAGGGATTAACTACTACACAACAGCCCCCATTACCAACGATGCCGAACACAGGAGTTCCTCCGCCACTGCCAGCAGAACCTAAACCACCGTTACCACCGGAGGATCCGCCGGCAAATCAACCATCTGCAATAGCTTCTTATTCAACTATGCCTCCTAAAGTGGGTAATGCGGGTTATTCTACCACTGCACCTCCTCCTGTAGGTGCTCAACAAATGCAAATGCCTTCCCAATCTGCCGAGCAATACAATCAGAGACAAGCATGGCAATCTAATTCAAACAAAAGATCTTATCCGCAGGGTTTTGAAAATGAACAAAATAAAAGACCTTTATTGGATAGATCAAAACAGTGGGGCAACCAGAAATCAAACCTAAATCAATGGACAAGTCAACCTCCACCAAATGTGTCCTATAATCAGCCACCTCCGCAAACACAACCTGCTCCTAAACCTAATATAGAAGAACTTTCTGAAGCTGAGAAGAAATTTGATAAGGAGTTTGCTGCTTGGGAGGCTCAGTTTAATAAATGGAAAGATCAAAATGCCAACCATCCCGATAAAACTCAGTACTTGGAATACGAAAAGAAGTGGGAATCTTGGCGGAATTCTTTATTGGAGCGACGTGAACAAATGAGAAGGAAAAGATTGGCTTTGAGTGGTGCCTCTATTGGAGTTCATAAACCTGGCTATACACAAGTGTCCAATGTTCAACAGCCTGTTGTAGATACAACAACTCGTCCTCCTGTTGCACCAGTTAAACCTCCTATTGAGTCTCCTATCAGACAGCAAGAAACTACCCCTGATTTGACTAATAATCCTCCAAATTTATCAAACAAACCTCTTCCACATCAAAATAATGAACCTTTAAATTTCAAGCATTCTCCTCAAATGCCACCTGATGAAATTCGTGAAGATTTCCTGAAACCCTCTTTTTCTTCCAGTGGTGGAATACCTGGATTAGATTTGGTCAAAGATGACGGAAATGAACCTCAAAAGGAAGATATCGTAGATATTGATAAAGAAAAAACTGAGAAAGAGGGTTCAACAAAAGGGCCAGATTTTGATGCAATCTCAAAAGGAATCAATTCCATATTAGGTGACCAAAAACTTTTAAGTATGCTGTCAATGGTATCTCAAAATCCACCATCTGCTCCTGGACCAAATACCGCCACTAACTCAACGTCAAATATTGTCCCTGGATATCCTCTAGAACATAACTTTAGTGCCCCACCTCCACCGCATCAATTTACTGAAGCACCTCCTTGTGGTAATTTTAACGCTCCTCCACCAACATATCAGCATAATGAGGGACCTCATCTAACTTTGCCCCCTTGTAATGACCAGTCAAATCAAAGCTACGATGAGAGATCCAGTCACGGTGAAAATTATCAACAACGGGAGTCGGTAAATAATTTTGATGATCAAACTCGTAGCAGCTTCACGATGGGGACTGGTGACCAAGATGTAGGATATGGTACAAATAACTTTGGTAGAGGTCAGTTGAATAAACCTCCTCCTAATAGATTCCTTGGAGTACCACCATCAGAGAATGACCGAGGAGTTCTAAAACCTGGCTTTGGCCCCGGTACAGTTAGAACTAATGATCCTGGTTTTAACTTAACTATGCCCAATAAGAGAAATCAGTTCGGTCCAAATGACCCTGGTTTTAATCCAAATATGATGGACAACCGAAATAGATTGGATCCAGGTGAACCTGGTTTTAATCCAAACATGTCTGACAACCGTAATAGGTTAGGCCCAAACTCTACTTTCGGGGGAAATATGTCGGATAGTAGAAACAAATTTGGTTCTAAGGATCCTAGTTTTGGTATAAGTTTGTCTGAAAATAGAAATAAATTTGGCCCTCTTCGACCAGATAATGGAGCAGCAAATTTCTCCAAAAATCCCAATTTGTATAATCAAGGTGAAAATTTTAAACGCAACGACTTTAACAGAGGAAATAACTTTCATAATGAAAGTTTTAATCGCGGTAACCTTAACACCAGGCAAGATAATTTTTCTAAAGAAAATAATTTTAAATACGGTGGCAATTCTTCTAACAATTTGAGATCTAATAACTTTGGAAGTGGTAATAATTTTGATGATAGACGAGGTAACTTCGGTAATGACTTTAATAGATCAGGCGGTTTCAATGAACAAAACAGATATGATGAAGATTTTGCTAAGGACACCTATGATCAGGGAGACTATAATGATTTTGAAAATTATAATGAAGACGAAGATTATGAAAAGTATCATGAGATGTTTAACGATGATGATGAAAATCCAGATCTTCCACGTCATAGCCAACAGCAAGGACAAGGTAACCAACCCGCGCAAAGACCGCAACCGCCGCGCCTAATGGATATACCTACAGAACCTCCAAAGCCTGTTCCTGAGGAGGAACCAATTTTTGAACCTGCCACTGTGATAGATTACGAACATAAATCGCAGAGAACAAGTAAGTGTTTTATTTGATTTATTGACCTGTACACATCACTGACATTTTACATTTGTCAATTAGTTCATAAATTAATTAATAATCTCATTTGGATTAATAGAATGCGACAGATTTAATTAAATTATTTTTAAAACAAATTATGGTATTCCGTCTTTTATACTTAATTATTTATAATTGGATTTTAGCCGAACCGGATGTTGTTATCGAGCCTATCCACATGTTTGATTATCGTCACAAGCCTCTAAACCGAATCCCTGTACCTCAGAGACCTAAATGGTTATCTGAATCTGTGAAATTTATTCGAGAATTTGACCCTTTAGCTTCTAGAGGGCCTTTGAACTTGGAAAGGTCCGCACCAGATAGATATCCAGGAAATTCCAGGGAGATACGTCGAGAAGAACGACAATCAGATATTTTAGATGATTGCTTTAACACACACAATAGACTTTATGAAGATAGAGGCAGGAGGTTTGCAAATGAGTTTGAAAGTCGTAGCAGAAGGGAAAGAAGGTCTTTTAGTAAAGAAAATGATCGTTTTGAAAGAAATCTGAAAGGAACAGATGATGGCTATGCAAGAAGAGAGAAAAGACCGTTTAATAAAGACGAAGACATCTTTGATAGAGAGCCAAAAGGGGACGTTAGGAATAGATATGATGATGACAGGTATAATTCAAAAAGGAACGATTCCAAGCAAATTAGTAGTAAAGAGTTTGAGGAATTCTCTGATGAGGAAATGAATTTTGAAAGCACCGAATTGCAGAAACACCAACAAAGCCGTGAGATGAGAGGCAGAAGTAGAAGTCCCATCTTAAGCAACCCACCCAATCCTGCTAATTTCAATGAAATTACAATGATAGAAGATATAATTAACTCACCGGGACGTTTTCATCGACCGCCACGTATTGTCATCATTTTAAGAGGGCCTCCCGGTAGCGGGAAAACCTATTTAGCGAAACTTATAAAGGACAAGGAGGTAATTAAATGTATTTAAAAAAATAATGTCCAGTACTGAATTTAATTCATTTCAGGTTGAAAATGGGGGATCTGCTCCAAGAATTTTATCACTGGATGATTATTTCATGGTTGAACATGAAAAAGAAGTGATCGAAGATGGTAAAAAGGTTAAAGTGAAAGAGATGGTGTATGAGTATGAAGCAGAAATGGAGGAATCTTACAGACAGTCTTTCATAAAATCATTTAAGAAAACAATAACGGACGGTTATTTCCCTTTCATTATAGTCGATAACATAAATGACAAAGTAAAGTATTTCGGAGAGATGTGGAGTTTCGCAAAACAAAACGGTTTTCAGGTTAGTGTAAACGTAACATTCAAATTAAATACTTAAAATTGACGTTATTAATTACATGTTTTCTTTGAAATAATGTTAAGAACATTGCAGTGTTTTTTACCTAATATTATGTTTTAGGTGTACATATGTCAGTTGGATCTGGATCCTACGTTGTGTACAAAACGTAATATCCACAATAGAAACGAAGCGGAAATCGAGGAGTGCATAGCGGGATGGGAACCAACTCCAAATCATCATCCAACAATAGACGCATCCGGATTTTTACAGTCTGCTATAACAGATGTGGAAATGGAAGAAGTAGAACAGCCGGTGGTGGAGACTAAAGTTGAAGAGGTCCCTGAGGTAAGTCCGAGCCAACGTAAAAAAAAACTAATGAATTTTGAAATAATTTGTAGCTAGGTTCTACTTGAATGGTGGATGAACAATTTTTTTTTAATGTTATATGTCTATATAATAATGTTCTTTTCACAGCAACCAATTTTTTTAATTTAATATTTAGTATTGTCTTGAACTTTATACTAAAAATTCAGTATCCCTCAGGATGACATGAGAAGCAAATGGGACACATTCGACTGTTCTATTAATAATCTCGGTAAGTTCAACAATCACAAGTGTACAAAGTGAAACTTATTAGTCACATTATTTTATACTATCAACTGGTTTTTATTTGTAATGACATCATTTTTGATTTTTGCAAAATTTATTACAGGCGCGAAAGGTTAAGGGTTTGATATTATTTTTTTCGTCACGGGAAAGGTTATTTATTCACTGCTTTACACATACATTTTGTGGACTGGAATTCTTCAGTTTTATTATTTTGTTTATTTGATCAAGCACCCATATGCGGACTTGCGTTTTCGAGAATTCGTTTAAAGCCACAAAAGCTTTTGTGAGTGCCCATTGCAGACTCGTTACATTTCAACCTAGTTTGTCTTTTTTTGTGTTATCGACATTTTTTTTATTTTTTATACATATTTAAAAAGCCTCACCGAACAATTTCTCCTCGCCTCTCTTGTGAGACACAATTTAGTAAAAGCTAAAAAAATAATGTTATAGCGACATTATATTTTTGCGCTATGCATAATCAGCTTCTGCTTTCTATTTCGGAAAGTTACTCGCGCTCTTCTCTTCATGAACGGATCACGGACCGTTTCCAAAGCGTTTTTTTCAAAGTTGTATTGCGCCATTATCCCTCTCTTTTGCGAAACCAAATTTAAGTTTTTTTACAAATTGGAAACATAATTTGTTTTCAATTAAAGTCAACACAATGTAAATTTAAATAACACGCCATAATATTTGGGTTACTAAATAATTATCACACTGTATTAAACACGTTACAAGTCATATTGTAATTCGGCAAACACTGGATGGCTTTAATTTAATTTTCCATTCTATCAGCTCCATATTCATTTTATCAAATATTGTTGGACAATATTAATGCTGAATTTCATTATTTTTAATTACAATTGAGGCCTATTAAAATAAGGTTCTATCTTTAAGTTTGGTTTTTATACAATTTTATATTTTTTTCTTTATGCGTTCTTATGTTCTCAGATATATAGATTCTATTTATGCCAAAAACAACTATTTCATGCATTATGATTAGTATATTTTTAAGAAACATTTCTTTTTTATAAGGTGTTTTTAAATTGGTGCTCAAAGAATTTGGGGGTGATTTCTTGTCCAAAACTTAGGGTGTCTTTCCTATAAACATTTTTAATTCATTTCCTTTCTTAGGATTACATTGCTCTAAAGGAGGTAGCGCATATTGGGTTCTTGTTTCTTAAACTGTAGTTAAGTTATTGAAATGAAATTTGGGATACATTTTCTACTTTTACTTTTTATATTTAACATTCTCTGATGTCTTTGTAAGGGGGTGGAAATTAGTGACCACCATTTAATTTTTTTTTAGTACATTGTGAGCTAATAAAAATGTTTTTTAATAAGCTATTTAAAAACATTGTGTCTCTTGTATTTTATTCTAAAACTTTTTTAAAGGAAATAAAAATAAAAATTACCTTTATGTATAATAGTCAATGACAAAAACGTTTAATCATGGCTAATCATGGTCACTTCCATTTATTGTTATTTTTAAACATTTTCCAAAATGCAGTATGTTTTTTATTCATGTGAATGCATTAATGAAAGTTTACAGCCACCTACTAAATGTATATTACAAATTAATTGGAATGTAATTATACATACAGAGTTTTTTTTTGCTTCTTAAAAATTATGTCTTGGAAAAAATATCAGACAAAAATATATTTAGATGAATCAGCTTTTAAAAAATATATTTTTTATTTGTTCTTATAAGTTCTAGTAAACAATTAAGTGATGTTCCGTTCAGCCCCTTTTCAGAGACATCATAGAATAAAAAATATTATAAGTATGAGTGGGAGACTGATTTTCATTTCTGTAAAAAAATAAAAGCCTAATCTCTGTCACCTGTGGATAAGCATATCTCCATAAGGAGGAATTTTATAAAAATGTTCATATGCCACCACCATAATTTTTGACAAGAAATTGCCTTTTACATTTTTTTGCAATAATTTAGAAACAACAATTTTATTGAGAAATTATTTTTTATTGCAAAATATTCCTTGTCAGTATGAGGATAACATATTTATTATCATATCATTAACAAACGGAATTACTTTAAGCTGTATTTCGTTTACTAAGTGATTTTTTTTATCATCTATATGTTGGAAACTCTTATTTCTTAATCTTAGAAATATTAACATTCTATTCGCCAAAAGTCTTTGTGGAATTCAAAATTGTAGATGACATAGAATGATAAAGTTTCCATGTGGACTCATTCTATTTATGCATTTTTGCTAGAGCAACAAAAATCTACTGTTAGATATTTTTTAATTTATTTAATATTTGCTGCTACTAGAAAATGTTATATATTAAATACAAGAGGCCATTGGAAAAAGGTAAGTTTTACGTTGGTATATTTTTTTATTGTGTAATTACAATCAATATTATTTGCTGAAATGGTAATATATTCCAAATGGATATTTACCATACAATTGCTGTATAATCTCACACCATTACGTTTGCTTTTATTCAACAGATCTATAATTTTGATTCTGTTATTTACAGAAACTGCTTAAATTTTACATTTTCTTATCAATATTGGAAAAAATTTTGACACCTTAAAAGTAAATAAAGGTTTTATAAACGTAAATATTTATAAATATAAAATTTGAGGTGAATATATTTAAATTAAGCATAAAAATAGCATATTTCATTAAGAAACAAATTCGAACCTTCATAGGAACAGGTGGGAAGGAATTAAATAACAAAAATTGTTTTAATAACATTGTTATTGGAAGATTGGTAATAAATTGTATATGTCTATTTTTTAACATAGTCTTCATGCTTTATAATATCTTAAAGTCTATAAGTTGTGAATGCCTATTACAAAAAAACATTTTGGTGCAATATTTAAGCACCACCTCAATTGTCTCATCGTTTGTAAACAAACAAATGAAGATCTGATGGTGCAATATTCGAACAGTATGGTGGATATTGTGACACCTGAAATTTTGAAATCTCGTATAACGTACTAGCATGGGAAAGGACATTGTAAGACAATAATACTCTTTTCGAGTGAACGTTTTGATCATATCACTCGCTTTATCTTATTGACTAGCATATATATACATCACTATATCCAGAATTAGTCGCAACTTATGTTTTTCTCAGAAGTGACCACTGATATCCCAAAAGAGATCTAAAACTTATCTATATGGGACATTTGCAAGTTTGAGAACAGGTGTGTTATAAAGCAGGGAGACGTGACGAAGAATAGAATAGAAACAATTTCTGAAAGATCTCTTATAATGCTATTATGCAATTGCTGTTATTTATTAATTTTCTCTCATATATTGAACTTCCTTTTAACTTAATCAAATGCAACTATTTTTATATACAAAATTGTTGGAATTTGATGTCATTGATTGCTTTACATCTTGACACTAGGAAACATACATTGTTGTATGTTGATTCTATACAAACATGTTGTAAGTAGCACACTCTTTCGATTAATGTAACAGTTTTGTTACATCCATTACGGCTATTGACCAATTTGAATTTCAGTAGTTTTCAGACGAGTTTAAGACATTGTCACACTGTTTATTTTTTCAAAATATTTTAGAATATTTCAGGTTATAAATACAAAGATATTGATTATTAATATCAATTGTCTGAATTGAAATAAATTTTTATTCATGTTTAGCATATTTAATGAACACAAATGCAATATGAAATGGTGGTATTGTTTAAATATATATTCTTCCATCAATTGAAAATTTATTTATTGAATGTGTTGGTGTTTTAAACAATATTGTCATATTATGACGAATTTTAACTAAAGCATATTTTAGTTTCTAAGGTTTAATCCTCGCTGGAAAAAAATAATTTTTTTGATAAATGTTTTAATTGCATTTTACCGTGTTATCCTTCTTTGTTATTTTTATTGACCTCTTAACTGGCATGCGGCAATGCCATTACATTAAATATCACCATATTCACTATATTCTTCACCTATGCATATACTTACCTCAACCATAAGGAAAGCGATAAAACTTGTAAGATGAATGACGAATCATGAGAATTTTTATTGGAATTTTCACTTAAGTTTGAGTTGCGACCATTTGATAAACGCCTCCTTTTAACATGGTGCAACCCATTTCTACAATTAAAAGTTTCGATAGACTGTTAAAAAAATATGGAATATTTTATGTGTAACTGTAGTTTTAAGGGTGAATATAGTCCTATTATCCATAAGAATTGGATCGCGAACATATCCGTCATAACTATTAGAAAATAATTACAAATTCGCATATATATATCCATTTAACCACTTAAGGGGTTAAATATTTTTGAACGACATTACAACATTTAACAGACAAATAACCTGCACAAGAATTCTACATTTGGAATAAATACGTTTTAGACGCTTGAATTATTTCAAAGACGTAAGAAGCAGGAATAGACTTCATAAGGTTCACAGTTTTTAACGAACATTGTTCTAAAATTTGTACATGTTTATTAGACACCACATTTATGGATATTTTTTAATTTTGACCAGTGGTAACTGAAAAACTATCATTGTAAATGTATTAATGGTTTGTTTTCTGTTCCAGCCAAGCTCGATGGAGTCAGCAAACCTTTGCGACCGTCCCGAACCATGGAAGAGTACCTTCAAGTGGAAGACGACTGGGAACCCACTAAACCAACAAAACAAGGCCAGAAGAGGGTATGCATATTGCTTTAATTTAAATTGAAGGCATGTTAAATTTTAACCAATTAATTCTGAAATCTCTATTCATATAGTATTTATAAAACAATCATCAGTGATATTTCGAATATATTTAGGTTCGGTGGGCCGATTTGGAGGAACAGAGGGAACAGAAGAAGATGAGGGCAATTGGGTTCATTGTGGGTCACACAAACTGGGATAGAATGATGGACCCCACTGGAGGAGGTAGTGCTTTGACTCGAACAAAGTACATATAGAGTTAATAATTATTAACTGTATTTTCGTGACTTGTTTTAATCACGTATATGTAATAGTTACATAAGTTTCCGTATTTATATGTAGGAACATATTTAAGTAATAAAAAGGATTAGTTTTTTTATTTATGGAAATAAATAGGTGCATAGATGGTTTATTTGTTAATAAAGATTTGTATTTGTTTGTCTTACTGTACGTTGCGAGTACTAAGTTAGTTTTCATTGTAATTTTTTTTTTTTTTAATAAAATGTTTCATTGTATTTTGTCATACAATAATATGTTTACGTGAATGCATCAATGCGTCGTAGAAGACACAAATAACGTAAACGAGTTGGAAAGATTTCTGGGAATCCTTGGATTAATAATTTAACTTTACTTTTTGGCACAATGTTTTCTCAAATATCCTGCCAGTAGATTACGTTGACATAGAGATTAATTATACAGTTAAGTAAAATTAGTGCGTCTATTGAGAGAAGTGTAATTTTTGTTTGCCTTCACGGTCAAATGTGGGGGAATATACAGGGTGCTTTAAGCGTTATATTCTCTGCAATTTGTATAACAAAATTCTGTAGTCAAAGAGTGACCGCAAAAATCGCCCCTTTTTCACAATTCGCAGAGAACTAAAGATAATAGATAAAAATATGTTTTTGGTCTCAAATTACTCGTCTTAAAAAGTTATGATGAGTAGAGCTTTTAGTTTTTTGAAAATTTCAAAAATCACTTCCAGGGGTTGAATAGACGCACAAAATGAAGAATTGAATATTACCAATAAATATAAAAACTATTAGCATGTGAATTTTTCTATCAAATGATTCTTGATACAAAGAAAGATTCACTGAAATAAGCATGTTGAATTAGAAAATCCACCCTTAAGTGCGCCCCAAAGAGAATATCGGAAATAATTGTATAAATTTCTAAAAAAATTATTAAGATAATTCACATGCTAATAGTTTTTATATCAATTGGTAATATTCAAATTCTTCATCTTTGTCATTTTTTCAACCCCTAAGTAGGGGTGATTTTCAAAATACTAAAAGCTATACTCATTTCAGTTTTTTCCAAGTAATTTGCGACCAAAACCATATTTATTAAATTAAATAAATAAATAAATAAAACGTCTAGAGTAAATTTGTCACTTTTTAGATATAAGGTGAATATTTATTTAATTTTTACTGGAACGTTTTATTTCTACATATTTTAGGATCTAATAATAATAGACAGAGTTAATAAGAAGGCCACATCTAACGGTTACCGTCACTCAATACATAAAACCATCCATTTAGTCAAAAATGGCAGAAAGTGACCTGTATCACAGACACCAAGTAAGCAGGAGCGGGTTCGCCAGGTTGCCATCACGTTTTTGGCATTGAATAGCAGTGATCGCTAGATGTAGCACAGAGCTATATCATTCTTTAAAATTACTGGATCATTTATCGGTTGTCTCACATGCTGAACAAGTACAAAACTGGTTCATGATTGGTGAGTTCTGCCGACGAGTGATCCTAGCGTTGTTTACTAGATTCTTAAACTTAGACGGCAAATAGGTTTTCTATTATATCTAAAAAAATAATCTGAGTACAAAGGAACTACTCTTACTAGTTTTTTCATGTCCAGGTGTACTTTGATGTTGAATTTGGCATGTTGTATAATTCTTGTAAGAGTTACAAGCTGCAAGCCATTTAAAAAACACCCTGCGTATGCCACATTCATGAATATCTCGCAAAAAGTAGAATTAATTTAAAAAATGTGGTTTTATACAGGATGTTTCTAGATAATTATGAAGACCTGTAGGAAGCAATTTGTTGTGGAAAATTAAGATTTTTTCAAAAGAACAAATCGTAATATCTTTTCTTGAGGCCTTGTACTCAATTTGTTAAAAAATTACATTATTGTATTATTCTAGAAGAATATAGTTTGCATTAATTATACTCGTATACCAGCAGTGGCTTGTGAAAATTGTTGACATATTTTGATAATGGAGCATTGTCAACTCGGTGGGAAATTTTTTCATTATCGTCTAATCATACCCTAAAAAATGGTAAGAGTCCTAAGCCTTATTATCAAAATATGGTCGCTTTAATTTTCACCATCTGCCATTGTTATGTATTGCACAACGGATATATTTATATAAGGTCCACAGCATTACTTTCAAATAAGGTATGGTTAATACTAATTATACAAATAAGATATGAATTAATCTGTAATTGTCCCTAAATATTTCTTTCCACTTTAAATATATTTGATATACATATATAGTTGTCTTCTTTTTACCACTTGTTAGTTTAAATGTTTTCAGAAGCTTTGGCTTGAGATCGGGTGTATCTAATTTCTGGCAACTATTATTGAACGTATAGCTCAAACTAAATGAAAAATATTTGGTTTATGTGCAAATTTATGAGAAAATATTTATGGGAATTTGTGCCTTAAGACTTGATCGAACCAGTGTTTTTCTCGATACACATCATTTTACATCTTTCGAATGAGAAAAGATATCAAAAATAATTATTTTTAATAAAAGTTGTTGAGAAAAAAGATTTTCATGATGTAAAAATGTGTAAAACGGGAAAAATAATTTTGACGTTGCAGCCCGCATAGTGGTAAACTTAACGAGATAGAATTTAGGTGCGTTCCAAAGAACATCTCTCAAAGTGAATAAAAATTAAATAAGAAATAATTTGATCTTAGCGAATAAATATTTTATTAGACGTTCCAAATTAATTTAAGTGAAAATAAATAAATCAAAGTAGTTTTAGCACATAGGGTAGTGAAGTTGTTACACTAAGTAAGACCGAAAAAACCAATACTGACATAAAAAACAATATTTACAGTACATTATATATTTTTTAAATGCCTAAATATTAAGAGTTAATTTATAATATTTCTAGATCACAATGACGTATCTCTGGATATTTTTTCTGAAACAAAATGGGCCAATTAATATTCAGTTAACTATTAATGTATTTCAGCATACCCTTAGTTTCATTTCTATCCTATCAATTTCTCCGCCCATCATATCCACTAAGTTTTCGCCATGTTGTAGCATAAATTCCTCCAATTTATCGATATTGTCGATTTTTTTTATTTCCTATCAAAATATTTAATTGCAAAAACATAAGTACAAAAGAATGAGAATTCCTTTAATAGTAAACATGACGTATATAATTCTTTCAGCTATAAAAAAAAAAAATTACCTCGAGTATATCATTTAGATCTTGTTTATCAAGATAAGCTCTGGTCAGTTCTCGACCATCAAAATCCAGCTCGGCTTTGTACCTAACTAAATAACTGCCCATATCAATACCTTTCACGTCGTGAATTGCCCTTATCATTACATCTTTTTCTAATTCTGCATTTATTTTATCTAAATTTTCTTCTGGAATTGACCTGAAATTATGGAATTCACTAACAAAAAAGAATGTACATACATTTGTTATGAGAATTGTTAAATACATTGTATTAATTAACTATGTTGACAAACTTTAAATGACGATTCCTTCGAGTGATTTCAAATTTCTTTATTTACATAAATCAGTGGCGCAGGTTTCATCAATATACCTCAACTATTTTTGGGGATATCTTAATAAATAGACTCACCTTCCAACAAGAGCTGCAACATTTGTGTAAATGATGAACGAGGCAACAGATCCTAAAATACAGCCTACTAATAAAGAGCCTAACGAATCCGGGATGGGACTGTTGGTTAACGAGGATATTCCCATACAACCAGCTGCAACGATAACACCTATGACTGCGGCAAAATCTTCTAGTAATACAACATTTACACTAGGATCTTGTCCTCTAAAAACTACAAAATATATTACGCGATTATGACAAAAGTGAGTGGCTTAAGTCTTACTATAATCTTTCACAGACATATTTACTTCTCTAGCGCCTTTCCTTATCGAGTTAAAGGCAACTAACCAAGTAGCTCCTTCTGACACCAGAGATCCTCCCAAAATGAAGTAAGCCTATGAAATTAATAAAAATTTGTAAACATTTCTACCATTTTCTAGGCCATGTTCAGGATAAGAATGTCTATCATATTGAAAATGGTGAAAATAAAGGATGGTTCAAATTATAGTACACCTAAACATTCTTGAGAGTTGAATGACCTTTCAGTGTGACGGATTCACTCTTAAAGATGCAGCAAAAATCCGGACATGTCCGGGTAAATTCGGATATCCGGTAAACCTAATTAGGTATATGTTATACAGTTTTAAAACTTACCCAAAAAAAATCTTCCAGAGGTGAGGGATGAAATAATCCTGATATTCCGTGATAAAATGATAGCCCGGTTCCTACACAAAATATACCTACACCAGAAATTAAAGATGCTACATATTTCATATTGGAATATCCATATGGATGGTACGAATCAGCAATCTAAAACAAAAAAATAATTTAACATTAACAAATAAAAAAATTTTATTTTTTTAATTTCTAATGCAAAATTGTGTATTTTATTTACCTGCACAGATTTGTGAATCCCATAAGCCAAAATAAGTTGATTAATTGTATCTGCTAGAGAATGTATGCATTCTGAGAACATACTATGAGATCCAGTATGTATCCACGCAAAAAGTTTAAACAGAAAATTTGAACCATTGCTAGAAATTATCAATATTACATATTGATATTCATGTTTAAATACATTAGTGATGATAACTTTTGCGAAAATTACTTCAATTAGATTATGAGTTTATGGTTTAGAAAATTATAAGAGAATATACCACTATTTTCAAAAAATAATAGCTTCCAAAAACACATATATTTTTTAATTACTTCTATATAAAAAGTTTCATAAAGTTTACCATCACCATTTTTTTTAATTACATCGCTATAGCAGTAATTACTACTTTGCCAGATCTTCCTAGCAAGCCTGTATCTTCCTCAATTACATCCGTTGACTTGCCCATTTCTCTTCTGTAGTCCCTCAGTCTTCGTTTTACCGTGAAAATATCTAAATTATACCGTAATTAATTCAGTGGATAAAGAACTAGATTGCCTTACTTTGTTGATATTTTTTTCTTTCTATATCCCTTTTAAGTCTCTCCTTTTGTAAATTTTCCATCGATCCCCATATTTCTAAAGATTTGGCTTCTACATCTTTTCTCCAGTAAACTGTGATTGGAGGTTCAGACTCATATGGTGAACGTCGCTTTGTCTTAGGAAGAGATTCTAAATCAGATGGTTTAAGTAGGAAATCCGACATCGCTCTAACAGGTGTAATAAAATTTCTTTCAAGAGACTGTGCTGATAAGTCTACTCTTTTTCTTTTTTTTGGAGGTTTTCCTAGAAACAGTTTCTGAATGCAATAGGTTATTATTTTAATTTAATTCACTGTACATAAAAAATATCTACAGTATTTAAGAATATTCTAATAAATCAACTTACCAGCGGGTTTTGGATCGGCTTCTTTTTCAGATTTACCTATAATTTTTTCTTTCAATTTCTTTATAGATTCAGCTGATAATATTTGTTTAGGTCCTTCATCAACTTCTAAACTTTTTTCTTTGACATTTTCCAAAATATCTTTTTGTTCTTCTTTTTTAAGATTAGGTGAAATGACTTGTAACACCGGCTTTTCTTTATCATCATTGTTTTTTTCGCTACTTTGATATAAACATGTAGTCCAAGCAATATTTCTTTTATTTAGTATGTACTCAAACTGCAATCCTAAAACTATAATTTTGTGACTATATTGCCAATCGGAGACATTTTTTATATTCACAAATCTTGTTTACCTATTTGTGATAAATTATGCTTTTCATATTTACACCTCACCATATGATTGCATACATACTTGTAAAAGTATATGCATCTACGGGATAACATTATTTTTTGTTAAAACACTGCATTTAAAATAACGGGAATGACAAAAAACATAACCTAAAATTATAATGACCAGTGACCACTTTCTTTTCAATTTAAGTTCCAAGAAGGGTCTGTTCAGAGTGTTCAGTGTTCACTGTTCACTAGTCACTACTTCACTCACAGACTTCTAAGTATTAGAAGTCTGTGACTTCACTCTAGGGAGACTAGACAGTTAACTCGTTCACTCTCTCAAATTTGACAAGTTGGTGTTAGTAGTAGTAGGGCAACGCGTTAATAGGTGCGCTGATGTTTGATTTTTATAATCAAAATAAAAGCATGCAGTTCGGTGTAGTTCACTTATTGCCATTGTTTAAATACCACAATGATATTACACTCCGGGAAGCACCTAGAAAGTTTTTTCCCTCGTTTAGAGTTTAATTTTCCCTTAAACGTTGGCAATATATTTTCTATTTTTTCTTCAATATACTTCAACCTATTTGGTTAATGTTAATATATTTTTTAGTACCTACCTAAATACATCTAGAGAGGTATTACTCAGCTCCTATCTGCCATGATTCCTTGGAAATAATCTCTTTCAAATTTGTGCATATAATAGTATAATAAATCGTCTAAACTTTATATCATTTGTAATTCTAAGAAAAAAATAAAATTAATAAAACGCACAAAAATTACGAACCCTAATAAAAAACATTACGGACTTAATTAAAATTTTACAGATGAACTTGTAAAATGTAGAATATCTTTGTTTCTGCTTATATGATAAACATACGGGGAAAATGATAATATTTATATATTTGCGTTGTCTTGTGGGTTATCACTTCAGTGATACTGAACCCTTAAGAGCATGCGATTCTGTGTTAAATAGAACAGTTAAAATGTTTAAGTTTGCTATTTTATTATTTTCATTTATTTATTATACATATGGATGTGGGCGAACACCTAGCATATATCATTCAAGAACTGATAAATTACCTGGCGATGGTGGATATCAAATTAAGATCAACGAAAATCCGGAGAAATATGTTCCCGGGAAATTATATACCAGTAAGTATATAATATTTTACATTTCATTAAATCAAATTAAAAAAAAAACTAACTCAGATTCATCTACTAAGTAGCAATACATTAATTTGCTGAAACTTAAAATTTCAATTCGGGTTTTCAAAATAAGGGAAAATAGTTATATGAAGGTGGAACAATTTAAAAAAAATCCTCTGATTTCATGTCATCACTCAGCGACATGGAGATATAGGAGATTATTGTTCCTAAAAAACCCATAAATTCGTTGCTATCGGACCATTTTTTAATTAATTATGTACTTACTTTTTTTTATCCTACTTTTACACTTATCAATAATTTCAATGAATTTAAAATAATTTTAGAACTATTTGTTTCACAAAAAAGGAAATATATTGTTTTTAAATATAAACGTGATTTTCTAGGCATTAATAAAAATGTTGAAAAAAATACGAACAAAAATATTACATTTTACTAGAGGTAAGAGTATACCCCTAAAAATGCTAAATTATTTCTACCCCAATGATTTTTTCTAGTCATAAAGATTTTATATATAAGTAGTTCTATAGTTATTTAAAGTTCAATGTGTTTGATATCAATAAATTAAGTTAAAAAATAATAATAATGTTAATGAAAATGGCCCGTTTATTAAAGATTTTAAATTTAATACAGTATACCTAAGTCTGTTACTTTTGGAGTACATTCAAAATTCATTTAATAAAAAATTAACTTTAACCCTGTTTCTTGAGAGTATGATAAACCTATAGTTCACAGAAAAAAATATTCTTATTTTTCAATGTTTTACCCAAAGAATGTATAGCAAGTTATTCTTAAATGCCTCTTATTTATCATTACTGAAAATAAGCCTATAAATAAATTGTCTGGAGTTTGCTGATCAAAGGAGAGACCTTATTTAAATTATCAGTATATTTTACGATAACACAGTCATATGATGTTTGTGGTCATATGATTTATATAACTAGAATCAACTCCTATATTTTTATCATGCAATAATATCGTAATTAATCACAGTTCGTGACCCCATTTCTGTTCCTAGAAATAATTTGTGAAAATGGAGTGCAATGTAATGAATGTCAGAAATAATAAAGCAATGTATTTCTTATTTTATTTTTAAGATGTTCGTTTTGTACTTTTGTAAAAATATACCTATTGCTGTGCCATACCTGTTAAGTAAAATTTATCAGGCGAATCCGTCCATTTTCAATAGCTAATGCTAGAGATTAACTTTTCACAGGGAATCTTATTTTATTCTTGGCTTACACAAACAAAATTTCATATGTGTCATTCAATATTATAAGTGATTTATTTTCCTTTATTTACAGTGTACTTAATGGATTCACGAATATTCAATAGAGTACAACATTTCACAAGATTTACAATAAGTGTTGAATCTGCAAAGGATAAACAAAACATATCTCCACAAAATGTGGGAGGATTTCAGTTGTATGGCGACAACTTGTCCAAATTTAACGATGAATGCATTAACACAATATCTGAAACAAATTCACTTCTGAAAACAGAAGTGTTCTTCATGTGGTCTGCGCCACCACCTGGATCTGGATGCGTTACTTTCAGGTTTTCATACACTTATTTTGTTCAAGAAAGAAGTTAATAAATAAACAAAATTTGTTAAACTTAAATTATATTAAAATTTCCCATTCTAAATCTACTAGAATTTTGTAGGTGTAGACAAAACAAAATTGACATGCCTCTTTTTTTTTGATAAAAAAGAAAGTTGAGGTAAAGATGGCAAAGTCATATAAAACTACTCTTTTTTTGTGGTTTATTATTTATTTCTTTGCTTTGACCATTCACCATATTTATATACATATACGTACAAATAAATGCAGTTTGATTCCGAAATACATTTTTACCCATTTCTAAGATATATGGATAAAATTTTGTAGGAGTATAGTATCTTCTTGGCCCAATGAAAAACATTCCAAAGCCGGTCCTGTCTTTTTTTAATGTTGGGGCCATAAGGGTAAGATACTTCTACAAGATTATCCAAATATATGGAATATATTCCTAAGTTATAGCGGATTATATTTTCTGTCAGAGTTGATAAAACACCCTGTATCTTAAAGGGTTAACATAAGTGTTTCGAAGTCAACTGAATATGCTCTACTCCATTAAAGTTTGTGATTTAAACTGGAGAAACCCTGTATATTATTTTATGTCCTTGTAGGGCTATGGTGTTGGAGAATTCTGACCACTGGTATTCTGATGATGGCAAATTGAGCAAAACATTTTGCGAACAAACAGATAACGATATTAAAATTGACGAACAAGACTGTTGTTCATGTGATGAAGCTAAATACAGTGTAAGGTTACTAAGCAAGGCACTTTTTAGAATGTTTCATCAAATAAAATTCAGAGATTCCAGATATAGAGCAATATTTCAAAAATGTTTAACAAATTGTGATTTTTTAAAAAGCTACCTGTGTAAAGTTTGTTTGAAAAAAAATACTGTATATTAATTATATTTAAATGCAATGCAAGTCGTTAGATTGCTTTATATGAAATATACAGAATTGTTTTTTCAGTTGATTTTTGAAGGAATTTGGTCAAAGACGACCCATCCAAAAGATTTCCCATTTTCACTTTGGCTTACCCATTTTTCGGATGTTATTGGCGCATCTCACGAGAAGAATTTTACGTTTTGGGGAGAAGACCAGATTGCTTCTGAAGGATTCAGAAGCTTAGCTGAATGGGGTTCCGTTAGGTTAATGGAAACAGAATTGCGGGCTAAAAGCAAATATTTGAGGACAATAATTAAGGCAGCTGGACTTTGGTACCCCAAAGTTAACACTAACACATCAACAAATTTTAAAGTAGACAGGCGCCATCACTTGGTATCATTGGCCTCTATGTTCGGTAATACGGATTTCGGAAGATAGTTATATAGAAAAAAAATGTACTCAAATCTTCCTTTATCTGTAGGTCCTTCTCCTGATTGGGTTGTTGGTGTTAACGGACTAAATCTTTGCTTGAAAAACTGTACCTGGATTGAGAATTTGACTGTGGACCTCTACCCTTACGATGCTGGGACTGACAGCGGGATTACATATATGGTACTTATAAAATTCTAATTCATTCACGATTTTATTTAAAAACCCTGATGTGAATATGTTTATTATTTGAACATAATAATTTTAGTCACCTAATGCAGAAACAAGCCCTAGAGAAAAAATGTACGCAATTACAACTACTTATCCAGAAGACCCTAGAGCTCCTTTTTATAACCCATCGTCTACCAAAATGGTACCTTTAGCGAGACTTTACTTTAAGCGGGAAAAAGTAGTCCCGAAAAACTGTGATGAAAATTTCCTTTTAGCTCAACTCGATGTCAGCGAAAACACTGAAAATACCTCAAGAGGTACAGTTTATTTGGCTTGAAAGTTTCTAAAATCTTTGCAACTAATATTTCTTGGTTTTGCAGTGGAATGTTCGGTAACAGAATATACGGATTGGAGTGAATGTTCAGTAACCTGCGGTAAAGGCTTGAGAATGAGGACCAGGGAATACCGAATGCCTCAAAAGGCACAAATGTTTCAGTGTAATAGGCAGCTTGTCTCAAAGGAAATGTGTGTGGCTGCCGTACCTGAATGTGAAAAGTAAATATTTATATTTACTTCTACAATACTTCTGCCCTTCAGGCTTTATATAGCTCATCAATTTCAGTTTTTAGGGTATAATTATTTTCTGCCATCATTATAAGGGGCCTGTTATTATCTACTTCAGAAGTATTATAACAAAAATAATGATTGTTTTAACACTAGTTATAAGTAACCATATGTAAGCAATTTCTTTTAATTTAGGAGTGCAGACACTGAAGCATCAGAAGAAGACATTGGTATTGAAAGTTTGGATGACAACACTGGCATTTGCTCAACTTCCCCCTGGAGTGATTGGTCTTCGTGTTCGGCCACTTGCGGTGTAGGTTTTAAGATGAGGACAAGACTATTCATCGACAGAATGGGAAGGAAGAAGTGTCCCCATGTTTCCACAGGTACGTTATGTGGCTAATAGTAAGTTGTGGGGAAATTCCTAACAGTTATTGGATTCCAGTGGAAAAGGAGAAATGTATGGGACCTGAGTGTGGCCCAGGTCAAGTAGAAGTCATTGATCCGATGTGTCCAACTACCGAGTGGAGTGACTGGAGTCCTTGCAGTGCCTCATGTGGAAGAGGAATTAGGATGCGCACACGACTACTATTGGTCGAACCGCAATTACAACAGAAATGCAGTTCGAGAGTGGAACTCATTCAGCAAACTCCTTGTATGGACACGCCAGATTGCACTTTTGATATGGCAACTGCAAAAGGTATTTATACCAAGTACAACTATATAAAAAGTAACAATGCCATGTACAATTGAACTAAAAGTAACACCGCTATTTTTCACAGTGGTTTGTATGCAAGACAGTGAACCAGGACCGTGCTCTGGTTACTTCAATAGATGGTACTTTGATTCAAGAAAACTGATGTGCGTTCCATTCGTGTTTGGTGGTTGCCGGGGAAATAGGAATAACTTTTTGACAACCGAGGAATGTAACGAAGCCTGTGGTGTTGTGAGAGGTATCTAAATCTGGGGAGACTTTTAACCTTCTTCACCCTGTAACTTTAATCCAAATGAAAATAATTTAATTATCAATAATTTCAGATGCCCTCTCGGGCGGATCACCACAACCCAGTCCACAAGTAGTCTATGCTGCTGAACCGGTCGACTGTATGGTGACGGAATGGTCAGAATGGAGCCGGTGTAGTGCTACTTGTGGAACCGGAATAGAAGAAAGGTTCAGAATAGTAAAAAGACCTGCTGAAAATGGCGGTCGAGCGTGCCCCAGTAAGCTTGTAAGAAGAAGGCGGTGTTTTGGACCAACTTGTCCTAGATAAATGTTTTTTACTGCCATTTATTGAACATACAAGAGTAGGTATCCATTTGTAATAACCTGTAATGTAACAATGAACATTACAGGTTATTATAACTAGACGGATTCCACCTTTAGGCTTTTAAAGATAATGTATTGGAATAATTATAGGGGAACTTTGGTTATCCAAGATAACGCAGAGGGCATATTGCAAACATAATTTTTGCTAATGAATTTTAATACATATATGGACATTATACTTATAAGCGTACTAGAGTGTTTAATGGATAATTAGAGTTCTACTGAATTAGTTACTTAGATGTTAATTTTGCTAAATCTTTTTGTAGCTATTGAAAATGTTATACAGCTTTTACGAGTTAATATTTTTTTCTTTCACCTTGTTTTACCTTAATTAACCGTAAAATCCTAATCTAAAAAATGTTGTGACCTTAATTAGTGCCCGGATATAAACGTCCTGTATAACTCATTTAAAAACAGGCTATTTAGGGTCTCTGAAAATATACATGTGATTCAAAATATTTCAATACCGTCATCGATTGCTTTTAAAGATATTGGTAAATTCATTTAAAAAAAAAATCAATTCTAATGTGAGTACACTTGTCTGCAAGTGACCCATTTTTTAAGTGTTACGTCAATAGCACCAGCCTGACGCCGCCCGGATCGGTTTGATAGTTGTAGGGACAAAACGGAACGCACCAGGGTTTCAGGAAGGGTCCACGGCGGATTGGCGCCGGCGACCAGATGCTTACTCAGATACCTGCAAACGACTCCACGGCCAAGAGGACTCTCCAGCGAACGCTCGCCCCGACAACATGTATTCTTTTTCACTAACCAGTTTTCAATAAAAATACTTTTATTTGCCATTTAAAAAGAGTTTTATTTTGCTGCACACCAAAAGCAACCCACACTAACTTGAAAATCAAAGATTGTGTAAATAAAACTCAGTTTTCGGCAGATCCTCATAGTTTTGATTTCAGTCCTTTGCTAGACTTTGTTCCGGTCGTTCCATTTTGTTTTATTAGTATTATTACTATTATTACAAAATTAATTTTTAATTGATTGTTATTAGATTTTGAATGACAAAAATTGCTAGTACATTTTTTTTTAATACGGGGTGTTAATGAACTTATGTCAAAAATTTAAAGGGCTGAAAAAGAAGCAAAAACTGAGTTAACTGATGCCACAAACTTGTATCGGAAGTTTAAGGTCATAGAGAAAAAAGCTAATTAAAAATGTGTTAAAACTGTTTTGGAACTGCTGAAATACATGTATTTTATAGTGGTGAGTACATACAAAAAATTGAAAAAATTCTGTAACACTTTTTACAAGTTTGTAGGTTTCTTATGAAGCCAGACTGTATTCGAAAGTCAGTTTGTAACACATTGTTGTAGTGATTGCTGTGCTGTTTTTCGAGAGTACATTTAAGTCTTATTTCCAAGTTTTTTTTTGAAAATGGCGCATTTATTTAGCAATGGAAAATATTATGATACACTCATAATTTATGGCAAAGCAAATGAAAATGCCCACAGAGCTTGTCAGGTGTACCGTGCAAGATATCCTGAATGACGTGCCCCCGCACCGTGAACATTTGTTGCTGTAGCGCAGAGTTTTGGACACCAGTGAAGTACAACCGCGTCGAGGTCACAACGGTGGCCCACACTATTGAAAATGCGACAGTTTTCAGTGAACATGTGGGCCGGTATCGTTAATGACACTTTAATAGAACCTTTTGAATTGCCTAGACGCTTAGACAGTGCCTCATATCAGTTCCATTAAATGTTCAGCAAAATATGTTGTTACTGCATGACGCAGCCCCTGCTCACTTTTTTCCGATGTGGTAAAAATATTTGACACAAGTTCATTAACACAACCGTTGAGAAGTATAAAACTCAATTTTTTCTGGGACAAATTTTTTACAGGCATTGTTAAAATTGTAGGAACCCTAATATATAAATATCGACCTCTAAAAATCTTAGCAGAATTTTTAGCAGTCATTTTCCTAGCACAAGTGATTATTAATGACAGATTTCAACGTTCCATTAAGAACCTCCAAATTCTAATTATGTATGTTCTTGATGATATGACTTTTTACATGAGCTAAAAATGGTAGGTCAAACAAAAACTGTAAAAGGTAAAACAAAACTATTTATTACCAACGTATACCTACATTAAATAAGACATTCTCGATAACACTCAGATATCAAAATTTGGACATACCATAGAAATAATAATTTACGTTTGGCTTTGCAATGTGCTTTTAGTCTTTGAGGGAACTGGATGATCAAATGGCTTTCCCAATTTTTCATAAACTTCTTTTATCCTTAAAACGGCTGTTCTATTAATACTTTCTATACTCACAGTTTTAACGATCGATTCAAATGTTTCTACAGCCTCTTCTAATTTTTCTTTACCAACTAGCACATCCAATAAACAACTGTAAGCATTTCCAATCGCCCCTTCTGTCACATTACTGATTTTTAAATGCTCTATTAGTTTCTTTGCCAAAACTTCATCTTGCTTGTCTCTGGCTGTTTGAACAATTTTTTGGAACATGATCCTCGGAGAATCCTTCAAGTGCACATTCCAGATCTCTTCTGTTTTATCAGCAATACCGTTAATGAAGTAATGGGTCCACAAAACGTTTAACGGAGCAACGTTGCCTTTTTTGGCGTATTTGATGGCTATGGCCTCGTCTGTAATACACAGGAACTATGTATAGGGTGTCCCAATAATTCACGTTTATAGAACTTCCACAGACTCTTGAAGTTAAAATAAGACGATTTGGTGGGACTAGGTTGATTTACCAGCTGTTGACTGCTGCTAACTGTTTGCATTGTGTAATCAACTAATCAGTGATCGCATTATCTCAATCGCAGACTTAACGGTTTGTCATTGTTTATTGTAAACGAATCATTAATACTGGTGATGCTAAGATTTAGGGATTTTTAGTTAGAAAACTATGCAAGTTTAGTTAAATTGTCTTACGTTGACTCCAAGGCATTGTGGTAGTTCCATATATACAAATATTGGGATATCCCGTTTTTTCTTTCATTGATATTTTTATTTACTAACAGGAAAAAAGTTAATATAAGGCTTTTTTAATGCGAACATGTTCAAATATGTATAAAAAGTCTTTGTATTGCTTACAAAAAAGTTACTATAACTTAAAACATACTTACACTTTTCTACAAGCTCAGGATGCCGTTCCAAAATACCGTACGCGCCACCTCGTGGAAACTGTTCACTAACTTCAGCGATATTTTCATCTCTGCAGTTTTCAATCTGTTTTTCTAAATTGTTTAAATACTCCTCGGCTTTTCCTGCAACTAAATTTGCGTGACAAATTCTGTTATCGAACGATACTATCCTTTTCACATCCTGGGTAATTAACGATCCAATTTTATTTAAAGATTCAACATCTCCAGTGCTGGCTAACTTATTCAATAGAAACCTAAATACTCGATTTACTGGAAGATTTCCATTCTGTATAATATTGTATGCTAATTTTGTAGCTTCGCCGACTCTACCGCTTTGTAACAGCTTTTCTACCAGAGCGGACAAGTCAGTTACAGGTAGTCTTTCTTTACTGTGACGTTTGATTTCAAGAGCTCCATCAACATCTCCAGCCTTGAGTTTTTGTCTAAAGATAGTTTGAGTCGTCGCTTCTTTGGGCTTAGTTTCTGTCGTTTTAGGTATCTGTTGTTCCTCAGGCACTATAAACGGAACTCGGATGCCTTTACTTTTCAAATAACTGCCAAGTGTAAGAAGAAACTGTTCGGTTGCTGCCATGTCTTCCTCCTGCATTTGCGTCCATAATCCTAAAGCTTTCTCGTCGTCATCTTGTTTGATGTACGTTAATAAAAGTTGATAGTAGATATCAGACCGATCGATATGATTTAAATCCTTTGTAGCATCTTTTAGTCCTTCCAAGGGTTTAATCAGTCCTTCTTGTTGATACCGTTCACAGGCAGTGTTGATTCTTTGAGGGCGATTTTGTAAACCAGGGGTCTCTAAAATTTTCCTAGCTTGTCTGATTCTACCGCATTCAACAAAAGCAAATACGAGATCGTATAAGCTGTTGACTTCACCGTGTACTGCCGTGCTCAAATCAGTAAGTTTTTGGAGTTTCTCGGCATCTTCAGCTTGAATCAGTTGACAAGCTAGTTCATTTTTCCAAGGAGTAGCTTTGAATTGATTTACACACCATTCGAACTTCTCTAACGCTTTATCTAATTCTTTTCGAGTTAAATGGACTTTGATCAAAGGTCCCAAAAGCACATTATTGACGTCGATAAATTCTTTCTTAACCAACACATCAAAGACTCTGTTCAGTTTTTCAACAGAGCCTTCTTCGGCAAGTGAATTAAGGAATCTCCAGACTAAAGCGGTATATGCGAAGTTCCTCTCTTCTTGTTTTCTGTCTCTTGGCGTGTTTTCTAAAATTTGTATACCTTCCTCGAATCGTTTGGATTTTACAAGCAACTGCGTTAACCGGATGATTTTTATTTCATCTAAAGTAAAATTGTTTTTTTCATTTTCCTTTAATTTTTCATAACATTCCAAAGCTTTGTCCAATTTATCGTGGTAAGCGTAGACATCAATCAATTGTGCATATATGCCGCTTGTAAAAACAAAATCGCCTTTCTTCAGATCTTCAAGTAATTTCTCCATTTTCTCGAGATCCTTTGAACGATAATATAAAGTCAACAACTGTCTTTTGAGACCTTTAGTGTCCTGATTCTTCGCAGTTAAATTGTGAATCAATTGTTCCAATTGAGGAATGTTCATCTGGTGCGAAGGGACATAACTAACAGACTTCTTTTCTAATTGGACAGGTGTTAATTCCCCGGAAGTTAATTTTCCTAGGAGATTAGAAATTTCGTCAGTCATTTTTTCACCGAGTTTCTCCTCAATTTTCTCTGCCGTCGGTGTAGACAGGCTCAGACCTTGTTTTACTAATTCTTTCAGTACACTCTCGATATGGGTAAGAAAATTGCGTTGATTAGATGCCAAATCGAGTATTAAATTACCGACAACTTCAGACTTATCAACTGCTGTAATTTCTTCTTCCTCGGTAACCTTCACATTCGCTTTTCTGTCTAAATTGTCATAAACTGCCCTCACTATCGTTATGTACGAATTTAAGTCATTCGATTTATAGAAAGCATTGGTGAGCGGTCTTTTTATCATATCTGGATAATAGTAAGCTTGAACTCGTCTAGCAATCACTGCTGCTTCGTCAATGTCAAATCTTTGTAGCAAAGAAATGACCAAACTGCAGGCAGACGAACCTACTGAAACATTCCCCTCTCTTAACAAAGCCAAAATTTCGCTGCTTTTACCTTTAAGGTTTGGAATGACATATTCTCTTATAGTCTCACTATTTGGTGTTATATTAAAGTCGCTCATTTTGTTTAAAACATTTATAATGCCCTTTCCGGAACTGTCTTCAGCTTTAGATACGATCAGGGGCCAGAAGTAGTGTTGCCTGATTTCAAATCCTTTGCTATGCAAGTACTCCAAGAGAGGATAAGCCAATTTATCGTTTCCCAACTGTAGACTGGTTTCTGTTGCTACATATAACGCTCTATCGTACATGTTTTCATCTTGAAGTCTCGAACAAAGTTCTATAATTTTTTCCACAGGTCTGTTTGCTTTAACAAGTTGTTTAACAAAGAAGTGTCCTGTTGGGAAAGGTGTGCCATCTTCCTTAGTTCCTCGATGCATTGACTGTAAAACAGTGTACGCAGCATCTTCCTCTCCTTTGTTAACTAATCTTAAAATTATGTTAATAGCATCTTGATTATATCCTACTGCTTTACGGACTTTGCTTAAAATAACAGATATGTGTTGGCTGTGACCATTGGTGGCTAATGCATAGACGACATCTAGATAGTCTTTATCTAGAAGGTAAATTTCCTTAGATTCGCATTCTTCGATCAGTTTTGTAATCGTTTCAATATCTCCCTTTTTAGCATATCCACAGAGAAGCGTTGTATATGTATCGGCACTTGGCTCCAATCCAGCCTGATTCATTACAGAAATTACATCTTGAGCCGAATCCATATCACTAAAAAGTTGTAAATTCTTTATGGTTTCAAAAATAAATAAATATAAACTATTTTATGTCATATTAGTGAATTTAGATACAAATTTTCATAAGATATCATTTAACATTTGTTTCATATAAAACCTAGAATAAATTTATGCCCACAGATTATATTAATAATAGACATTAACCAGAAAATTCCGTTCAGTATAAGAAATTACAAAATTTAGTTTGAATATTTGTAGTACTTACCCACATTGAGAATGACCAACGATAAGAGCGTTAAAAACATTTTCATTAACTGAAAGCTGCTTTTCTCTCATATACTCCAGTATTTTTGTTGCTCCTTCGATGTCTCCAACTTGGCAATAACGGGCGATTAATCGTTGGTAGGTTACTCGATTAGGCTCAATTTCTTTGCTTTCAAGTTCACTCAAAAATTCTGCCGGAGAAAAGGGATGTTCATTTTCCAAGTACACCCGTAAAAGGGCATTATAATGAGAAATATCCATTGGTACATTTAGCTTTTTTAATGTATTCCATATTTCTTGAACTAGTTTTGTTCTTATTTCAGGTAATTCCTCTGGAACTAAATTTCCACAACATCTTATGACAAGTAAAGATTGTGAACTTGATGCAGATCCAGCGTTTCTAATTTCTTCTAGAACATCTTCTATATCTCTTCGAGATATGCGCCCTGACTTTCTTACATCTTGATCAATGCGTTTTAAACTGTTTTCTAAATGTTGATCTGTTAGACCAGAAACTTGTGTAACTAAACTTCTGAAAAATAAATCGTTACATAAAAGTGATGAATGGTTCAGATATTAACTTCAATTTACCGGGGTAAAGCACCACAAAAACATTGTGAAGTATTTACAAAGTTCCCGTCAAATTCTCTTGGGGTGTTGACCACCACATTTCGTGCAAATCCTGCGACATATCTAACAAACTTTGAACTTCTTAAAATCGACGCCATGCTGAGCCGACACAACCCTGTTTTTAAAGCTACAAAGCTACTTTTTTTAGGTTAACTTTTAAAGGATTACAAAACGTTAAATAAGAAGATAACTAACTTTAAGTGAAAATATACAATTTTTCTATAGTTCTTAAAAAAGTATTTACGTGCAGTGTTTTATTTTTCAGTTAAACATTATTACTTCAAAGATTGCGCCAGTATATTTTATTTTTATCTATGATTGCGCCATAATCAATTCGATTACCGCATGCATTGTTTATTTTAATTTATTTTACTTTATCTATGGTCTGTCCTGTAGTCTGTCTCCTGTCTACCTTGTAATTCCGTGGTGGTGGGTGGTGGTCACACTGGGTGTGTCAAATGGTGTCAAAGAAGTGTCATGTAATGGATGACGAGTGTCAATAAGAGATAGTTTAAAAAGTTATTAATATGAAATTGTGAAGTAACTGACAGATAAATTAGTGCGACACTAATTATTTTATTAACATTTATCGACGAAGGTAAAACGTAAATAAATTTATGTTATTAATACTTTTCTCAACAAAAAAATGTTCATAAAAAAGTTCATATTTTTTCCAACTTTTTTTTAGAAATTCAAATGGAGTGTGGGCAATTGAGGGATTTCTCAGAATTTTGTGAGCAGTTAAATGAAATAAGAATAAAATTTCACAAATGGGATAGTTGTGAGAGGACAGTAGGACTTTATTATTTAATGGTGGGTTTACCCTTTGCAAATGCGAGATTTTTGCAACATGCGTTGGAGCAGTGTATAACTTCAGTTAATACACCAGAAGCCCAGATTCTTGAAAGAAATGCAAATGATTCAATGTTTATTACAAGTTTTCTTTCGGAAAGCCCTCAAATAGCCTTGTCATTGCTTCTGACCCATTTACCGTTACTCAAACCAAGCAATAAAGACACAGCGAAATGTTACCTGAAAACAATAAAACAGGTTTTAACAGAATTCATTACCCCTCCACGTAAAATATATAACGAATGTGTTGAAATTATGTCTTATGTCTACATTCACCCTGCTTTTACTAACGAAGACAAAAAGTCGTTTAAACATATATTGAAACAAGTACTAAATAAAGTCACTCCTCAGAATTTTGTTCATTCTCCTGCAAATGAGTCTAGCGATGAATCTATTAGTCCAAATCCAGATTCTCACGAAATGCACTTGAAAAGAATGAATAGGCGGTCTAATAGTCTTACACCTGCTCAGGGCAGTTCCCATGAAAATTTGCAACCACATCATGGTAATTGGTACTCGCAAGAAAGCCTCGCAGAACCCTTGTCAAAACCTCGCAGTTACTCCCTGTCTAGCGAAAAGTCTCTCCTTTGTAACATGCCAAATTTACAGTCGAGCAGTTCAGAAACGAGACTGCAAGATCTGAGGATGATGAATAACTTACCAGTCATGAAAAGCATCATGTCGTGGTTGAAGTCTTTACGGCTGCATAAATACAGTTGGGTATTTAATAATCTCACATATAGTCAAATGATTAATTTAACTGACGACACTTTACAAGGCATAGGTATAACAAAGGGTGCTAGACACAAGTTACTATTAAGTATAAATAAACTCAAAGAACGTAGCTCAATGTTAACCGAATTGGAAACCGAAGTTATGAATGGAGGGGATATCAGCGTTGCACTTAAGAAACTCAAGAATGTCTTGCAAAGTCCTCTGCAAGTTACTTTAGGAGAGGATTTGCCTGCTCAGTTTGTTAAAGTTATGGGAAAAGGTAACAATTCACTAGTTAAATATTTACGTATGTCATCACTTGGTTCATTCTAGAACAAAATGCCTAATTGTTCAGAAACATATACTTATGAAAATATCTCTTTAAGACATTTGACTTAGATTGCTGAAATTTGTATACTTTTTTTTATGAAACAGACCTTTGAAGAGAATTTAGATTCATTTAATATAAGTAGAGCTTGAAATTTGTTGACAATTCAGTTAATTTTTACCTTTAATTAAGTACATTATTAGAATAAATGTGATAGTTTTTAAAACTTGTAATTCGTGTCTCTAAAACCAGTGATTTTAGATCATGTTATAGTCTTTCCGAAGTCAGTTGAACATGCAAAAAACGCCTGGCAATAAAATTTAAAAAGTTTCATAGGGGTCCCTAAAGGTAAAAAATTATAATAATTTGTATATGTGTAGAAAATTTCTATTATACAGGGTGTTCCTAAATAAGTGACGCAACGGAAAACTGTAAATTCCTCTT